AGGCTACAGTCAAATGTGACATGATACGTTGTTTGGTTCACTCTTTGGTCTTTGAAAACAGTGAAGCACTAAGAGTTGATATCAAGCAGCGTTCCTTGTAATTACCCTGATTATTCTACGCCTTTCCTCTTCTTTCAAAATCCAGAAATTCCAGATAGGCTTGGCATAAACAAACACTTTGGTGATTTTCTCCCACGAAATGCTTGCATGAAAGAGATGGCCACTGAGGGGAATGCTCTATTTAAGTGTTCGGAGTGCGTTTCAAAACTGAGGGCCATACCAAACCAAACCACATACATTAATGGCCTCTTGCATGTTCTGATATGTAACCCAGTATGATCATCCTAATATCCTTTATGTTCCAATGACTATTCAAAACATCATTCTTCATCTCCTCACCTCTCCTCACCTGTTCTCAGCTAGCTCACACATAGCCCTGAGTCTTAGAAGCACACCTCTGCGATATGCAACCAGTCAGAGATGGAGAGATAGAGGTTATAATGCATCCATCATTGAGATTGTTCCTTGGAAAGACATCGCCCACAGGCGAAGTCTTGTCACCGAGCTCCTTGATATCTCAGTTTTCTCTCTGACTGTACTGCCACCTTTCCCCTATTCTGTCTTTACCATGCAGGTCAGTGTGAAGAAATCACACCAAAGCGCTGCTCTCTTTTTCTATACAGGTAGATACTAAGGTATGCATAAAGGTATGCACACGCAAGAATTTGTGCACACCCACATTTATTTTCTGCATCGGGAAAGGTTGATTATATCTAGTGTCAATAAACTGCATAAAGGTTGCGAAAACGGTTTTTTAACATTATTAATGCTTAAACATCATTAATAGATGTGTAATAGGTGATTATTACATACTGTAGCAACGGTGTATTCCTCAAATGTCTGGTTCACCACATAGCTTTAATAGTGTTGTTATGACTGTGAAGGCTTGCAGGGCATTTACACTGACATTGTGGCTGGAAAATCCAATACTTGTAAGGGTCTTCCCAGAAAAGGGAAGGGGGTATCTTATCATAATGCCAATTTGTAACTCATTGTAGTAAACAGGAAGTAATGTGTTGCTGACTCATAACTTGGGCAACAGCCAACACTAGTTTATGTGCGACAAAGACACTGCTGCCTTGTGCTTGTCCATTAAACATGACATGACATAAACATAGCAGTTAAGATAGCGATGAGGTTAAATACCAAATGTTCAGCATCATAGTGAAACTGAGATGCGGAGGATTATAGCTTGGGATAAAATCTGTCTTACATATACCTGTTTTAGTAGGACTAAATGTCAGATGAAATCCCTATGATATGCTTGAATAGTTTCACAGTGGCAAAGGTAATGATAGTGTGGAATAACTAAACAGACGTGGAACAACATTACTTACTAATGTGGCCAAATGTATTCACTAGGTCTAGGCTAAGTACATTGCCTTCAGCAGCTTGTTATCTTAAGAATCTAAGTTCTCCTTGGAGGAGGAAGTCTTAGTAGGAAGTCTGAGGGTCTCAGTTTCAGTCCTGACATGTTCCTTCAGGATAACCGTGTTCCTTAGAATATCCCTCAACAACACCCCTTTACCAACGTTTTAACAACCGGTACCCTAGGCTTTCCCCCTTTTCCCCATCCACTATTAGATTGGACAGAGAGTCCGGTGAGTCAATGCTGACGTAGTCAAAAAGTTAAACCGGATGTTACTGTTTAATTTTCTGAGACATGGGGCACACGTGTGTTTACTGAGTCCCAACCGTATCCCGTATTTACTGCTTATTGTAAATCACAGGTCTGACTGGAGTTCATTAAGTAAAGAACTGTTTCAACTGAAGGGACTTGGGAAATCCCTCTCGTAAGGCGGGTTGTTGTTTTTAGACAGGTTGACGTGTAGATGATAAAGGAAGAGATGTTTGCATGCCTCTATATGTCTATGCCTTTGGTAGCCTCCCACTGTTAGATATGGTTGACCTTATACCTCTTCAAGTTTTTTATTTTATTTTATTTCACCTTTATTTAACCAGGTAAGCCAGTTGAGAACAAGTTCTCATTTACAACTGCGACCTGGTCAAGATAAAGCAAAGTAGTGCGGTAAAAACAACAACAACACAGAGTTACATATGGAATAAACAAAACGTACAGTCAATAACACAATAGAAAAGTCAGATGCCTAATCATAAGAAACTCACATACACTAACTCAAGAAAATATCAAGACCTAGGGCTGGATTCAATCCATATCGCTGATGTTCAGCGCTCTCGTACGATTGAAATGTAAAGGTCATTTAGATTTGAGCCGAACTATTCAGTGTTTACCATGAATGCAGTCTCCGCTAACATTGCCTTTACATTTCGATCACCCTGTAGAGCAGCTCTTCAGCGCTACGGATTGAAACAAGACCTTAGTACATGTAGGCCTACCTACACTTCCCCTTTGTCATCCATATGTAAACCATTAACTCTGCTGTTTACTTGTTAGATGCTTACATATTTGCTGAAAATGCAAGTATAGGTTTTTCCAGACTTGGCCTTGATGGTAAAAGTTGTGACTGTAAAAGCATTTTTCACATAGAAAAATAGAAAAAGCGACATGTATGACCAAGTCTTTGACATACAGTGACCACCCACTGGGTACAGACTTCAATTCAACATCTGTTCCACGTTGGTTCAACATAATTTCATTGAAATGACGTGGAAACAATGTTAATTCAACTATTGTGTGCCCAGTGGGCGATGTGTCCAAAAGCCCCAAGCAGGAAAAACCTGTGTAGTTTACAATAGTTACACAGTGTGACTCATTACAACGGAACACAGTGGTTTCCCAGTACCATGATCAAGGGACAAATACACTTGCCCCACATCAGCTCTAAACCCGGATCTGCCACATGCTAGGTGCTACTACAAATACCCAATGATGCGGACGGGATTGTAGGTGCTTCTTCAGCCACATTGAGGACCTGTCTTTGAGAATGTATTGAAACATTTACAGAAACCTTGAGACCTCCAAATGAGAGCAACAAACATGAATATCAGTACTGTGCTGACTTGATGCAACCCAGACATGAGATATTATCTGGAGTGCAAATAATACCAGTGTATTGGATGATGCACAGTTGCTGTTTACTCAGATATATAGTTGCTATGGATAAGTAGGATGCATTAGCTTGGAAATTCAATCTGACCCATGGAGGAGGGCTAACGTGGAAAAGGACCTACCTACTCAGACTGGAATGAAATAAATCACTGGAAGCCTGAGGCCGTTTTACAGTGACATTAAACAAGATGCAGTGCTGATAAGTGGCCTTTCTTCTTATTGGGTAGTTTCATTCCTGCCTAATACATTATTCACATAACAATAATAAAGTGATTAGACAAGCAGGAGGAAACAGGCTTCGCACGCTAGCTTGTTTCCTTTCAATACACCCCCTTTAGTGGAGACCACCCCATGCCACAGAAAGCTAGCTAGTTTTTAAACCAAATATGTGTGTAAATCATTGGTTTAAACAGACTGAACACAAACTATTGGAGCACCACGGCTTTTGCTGTTGCTCCCATTGGGTTCCAAACATAACTAATGTATCCAATATTGTATTTTCTTTGGTCCAGTAGTGTCCCACACTCAAGGCCTAAAGTTACATAAGTGGAGGGTCGCTCACTTTCCTTAATGCCTCTTTTTCTTTTGGGCTTGAGACCTGTGGGGCAACAAGGGCGTAACTCCAACCCCCACCCCAATCTCCACCACCATCACCCCCTCCATCTTCCAACACACACCTCCCGTTCTGCAGTAGGCCAGTGTGGTGGTGTGGAGGCGGGTTGGCAGTGACGGTGCTCCAGCAATTTGCGCAATTAGGGTCCCAGGGCAGGGCTGTCAGCCCCCAGCGCAGCGCTGCGCGGTGCGGGGAGAGTCCATGTCAGCCTGCTCCTTGCTAATGAGCCGAGCGCCTTCCATTCAGACGCTCAGTAATTAAGAGCTGGTCCTCTTCCAATAAACTTTCTCCTCCCCCGCCATCTGTCAGCAAGGCAAGCAAGGAGCCCAAGCCCTATTGTTCACTCAGCTCTATTGTGCATTATTTCTTCTTTTGAACTTTTTAAGCGCCAACTTCCAAATGAGAAGAGAAATCTCAGCCTGGCACTGAACCGTCCCCTCAGAGAGGGGGTAGCTGGGGTTGGACCCGTCACATAGTTATGTTAAGCACTTTGACTTTGAGGTGCGTTTGTGTTGAGGAAGGAAGGAGTCGTTTTATAATCCGTCGTTTGGCACAGGGGAAAGAAACTTCTTAAACTGGGAAACTAGTGTAAACAAGCAACAAACATGCTACCATGCCCAAGCCCCTACCTAGCAGCACCTCACAGATGTCACAGATGGGCCCTGCTCCAGGGCATTACTTGATTAAAAGGGCTTCCACAGCATTCAACACCCACAGTCCCAGTCCTGGGTCCCGGAGAGCCACCTGGTGGCCCCAGCTCCCTTGTGTTAGATCGAAACTTCATCATTAGCTGAGGGAGGTAGGGGAGGGCTTACAAGCCCCAGGAACCCCCTGGCCTCAACTCGTGCCCCCCATGGCTGCCCTTTCATCTGGATGGCATCTTCATTAGCCAGAACTACTCAGTGCATTGTGGAGACAGGGTGGTGCATCATGGTCTAATGGGCCTCAGGATGGTGGATGAGGTTTTGGGATAGGGTGCTTCATCTGGATTTTGGTTCTTGTAAATTGTAGTTTAGATATGCTGTGCCAAAACAAGCTAGTGGATAGTTAAGGTGTGTAATGGTTGTGGTTTTGGAGTGTGGTCTGTATCCTGGTGGCCTTGGAGTGTGGCCTCAAGTAAAGAAAGTAAAAGGGGATCTTGTTTAGACAGGGCACTGATGAGTCTGAAGTGAGGTTTTGGAGATAGGTAGTTGTAGCAGAGCGGCCCCCGCTCACTGTTATTTCCTGTGCCTGTCGCATTGAGTCTGGTCTCTCCTGCACTCCACTGGCCCGGAATGTTCTCCCTTCATTATCAGCCTGCCCCAGCCCTGCAGGACACCCCTTCCTCAGCTCCACGTCACTCCCCCACCCAGCCCCAGTCCCAGTCCCAGCTCCACAGACAAGGGGGGAGACAGACAGGCCAACACACTCCCTCTCTCTAGCCAAGGTTAATTGACCCAGTTTGCAGCTGAGACATTGCGGGTGTCGCCTGTTCAGGTCGCATGGCGGATGGCGGGAGTTGACCAAGGATGGCGCCTAAATGTGTGTGGGTGCCAGCAAGGACCACCAACAGAGGGAAAGGATGTGGAGCACCCTTGTGGAGCGCCATCCTCTTGCATGATACATTATTATTTACCCATATTAATATTGGCCATTGTTATTAATCAAAGGGTAGCCTATCAATTAGACATATAGATTTGTTTTAAATCATCATAGTAACTGTGAGGTATTTTTCTCGTTGTTATTAAATTCTCAGGAAATGCAGGGGGTGTAATGAAGACAACTGGCTGACAACCTGGTATGACACTAAACGTTGAACTGCTCTTCCTGTTTTTTAAAGTTACATAACATAATTTCTATGCTTAACCTGCAATGACATATAACACAATTGAAAATGTTCTAGTTTTCCAGTTCAGACAGACTGAGAGGGCTCTCTGCCTGTGAGCCCTTTAGTTTGAGATGAATGTAAGACGAACCAGAGCTGACCTTACCTTCCCATTCACTCAGGCTGGGGACAGTGTTTACAAGTCTTTTATCAGCCATGGCAGAGCGGGGTCAAAGTTCAAATAGCCAGGAAGGCTTCATTCTTCCCCAATTGGCACACTGCCCAACCCAGCATCTGACATGCTTTCACTTTCATTGCTTGTGGCACCAAGGACAAAACCGCCCGAGAGAAAGTTTGTGCAAATTACTCAAAACGAGGGAGGCGGGCTATCCTCAGTCCGTTTTTATATTTTTCTTTTTTTTGCATGGTCATGAACTCTTGTTCTGTTAATCTGTTCTCTGCAGTTAGTAGTTGCTTTGGGGAGACAGGTTCCAATCAAAGCCTGCCTTGTTGGTTATTCCTTGCCTTCTGTTGTCAGGGGCATTAAAGAGCCATTCGTCTTAATGCATTTGAAGTTTAAATGCAAAAAATGTCCAAACAAAATTCCCCATGAGCGACTACTAGAAAGCTGGAATGGAATTTCAATCTTTGTGTTATGTGTCACACCTTGTCAGTGACCCGTGTCACATGTCATGAAATGGAACCTAGGAGCTGAGATAGTTTCACTTTGCTGGCTGGAAATTGAAAAGGTGTGGATTATAGGAAACAAGAAATATAGAACAGAAATTAAAGATAAACATGGAATAATCTCTTATCATAGAATAAACATGAAAGAATCTATAAATACTTTATCTTTGGTGCTGAAAGACTATTGGCACAGAACAATGCATGCCTGTCAAGAGTCTAGACTGCTCAGTTTACTGTACCACTGCCAGGTCTACATAACTTTTCTTGATTCTGCAAAGTTGTACTGAAGGCAACTCACTCCTTTGGCCATTTGAAATACTCCTGATTTATTATTGTACATGGGTCAACTTCTCATAGGGAGAAAAAAGTAATGGGGGCTCTGAGTTGCTGGTGTCCATTAAGATACACAATCTGTAAGTGGTGAAAAAGGAGATGTTATGCGCGGGAAATGCCAGCTCTCAAAAATGAATAGCCTGCCAAATGTAGAGGCTGTTTACTTGTGTAACAATAATAATAAGCAAGGCCAGGATTCAATCCAAGGCATGTTATGCAGCAGCACACTGGACAGCTGACAATGTGCTAAATTTGAGTCTGACTTCTTCTTTGTGCTATGTGTGTGTCTGTGTGTGTGTGTGTGTGTGTCTGTGTGCGTCTGTGTGCGTCTGTGTGTGTGTGTGTGTCTGTGTGTGTGTCTGTGTGTGTCTGTGTGCGTCTGTGTGTGTCTGTGTGTGTGTGTGTGTGTGTGTGTGTGTGTGTGTGTGTGTCTGTGTGTGTGTCTGTGTGTGTCTGTGTGCGTCTGTGTGTGTCTGTGTGTGTCTGTGTGTGTGTGTGTGTGTGTGTCTGTGTGTGTCTGTGTGCGTCTGTGTGTGTCTGTGTGTGTGTGTGTGTGTCTAGTCTGGAGGAGGCGGACGTGCTAACATCTAGTGAACCACCCTGCATGTTCATCTCTGCCACCAATGAGGAATTTAACAAGACAGGAGAAGAAAAACCCTAGCTGTTGTTGAGTGGAGAGCACAGATTGGACCACTCTGACAGTCTTACTTCCTAACTCTCTGTACATTCCAATATGGAAGGAATGTCCAGCTGCATCCAATGTGTGTTAGTGCAGTGGCTCCTGAGTGTGTGACTCACCACATACAGTGAGGGAAAAAAGTATTTGATCCCCTGCTGATTTTGTACGTTTTCCCACTGACAAAGAAATGATCAGTCCATAATTTTAATAGTAGGTTTATTTGAACAGTGAGAGACAGAATAACAACAGAAAAATCCAGAAAAACGCATGTCAAAAATGTTATAAATGGATTTGCATTTTAATGAGGGAAATAAGTATTTGACCCCCTCTCAATCTGAAATGTTTCTGGCTCCCAGGTGTCTTTTATACAGGTAACGAGCTGAGATTAGGAGCACACTCTTAAAGGGAGTGCTCCTAATCTCAGCTTGTTACCTGTATAAAAGACACCTGTCCACAGAAGCAATCAATCAATCAGATTCCAAACTCTCCACCATGACCAAGACCAAAGAGCTCTCCAAGGATGTCAGGGACAAGATTGTAGACCTACACAAGGCTGGAATGGGCTACAATACCATCGCCAAGCAGCTTGGTGAGAAGGTGACAACAGTTGGTGCGATTATTCGCAAATGGAAGAAACACAAAAGAGCTGTCAATCTCCCTCGGCCTGGGGCTCCATGCAAGAGCTCACCTCGTGGAGTTGCAATGATCATGAGAACGGTGAGGAATCAGCCCAGAACTACACGGGAGGATCTTGTCAATGATCTCAAGGCAGCTGGGACCATAGTCACCAAGAAAACAATTGGTAACACACTACGCGCCCGCAAGGTTTTTCTGCTAAGGGGACAGGACAACTTCACCGCATCAAAGGGACCATGGACGGGGCCATGTACCGTCAAATCTTGGGTGAGAACCTCCTTCCCTCAGCCAGGGCATTGAAAATGGGTCGTGGATGGGTATTCCAGCATGACAATGACCCAAAACACACGGCCAAGGCAACAAAGGAGTGGCTCAAGAAGAAGCACATTAAGGTCCTGGAGTGGCCTAGCCAGTCTCCAGACCTTAATCCCATAGAAAATCTGTGGAGGGAGCTGAAAGTTCGAGTTGCCAAATGTCAGCCTCGAAACCTTAATGACTTGGAGAAGATCTGCAAAGAGGAGTGGGACAAAATCCCTCCTGAGATGTGTGCAAACCTGGTGGCCAACTACAAGAAACGTCTGACCTCTGTGATTGCCAACAAGGGTTTTGCCACCAAGTACTAAGTCAAATAAACCTACCATTAAAATTATAGACTGATCATTTATTTGTCAGTGGGCAAACGTACAAAATCAGCAGGGGATCAAAACCTTTTTTCCCTCACTGTACGGTGTATGTTAACAACTAAGAATAGAACAAGACATGGGGAGCAGCTTGCTAATGTCTCTCTTGGGCACTTCGGAGTGTGATCATGAGGGCTGAGAGGTCTTTGCTGGCTGGCTTCTTTGGCATGGAGCCCTGGGCTTGACAAGCACATCTAGTCACTCATCCTGGTTACATCGCTCATATTTACTTGTGTTATTACACCACTGTTTGGTTGAATGAAGGTGGCCTGAATTAATATATCAAACTATTTTGGGGGCATGACAGCAGTAGCGGAGCGGACAGATTTGATGTCTATTTCATGTAAGAGACTGTGAGACATATCCAGCCCAATAAACACCTTCCTTTTCTCGAAAAACATTAATCAGCTACAAGGGAGACATGCTTGTTTACGTTAGACATTTGTGGACCGAAAAGGGGCATTGATTTGTTTGTTTTGTTATTAGTGTTGAAATTGGGTGTGAGTGGGCCTACTAAAATGTCCTTGTTGTTGGAAGCAATCTTTCTAGCCCACAAATGCTTTTTAATGGTTCAAATGTGAAGGTCAGCAAAGAGAGTGATTCAAACAGTCTAGAACTATATAAATACATGAGCAAGGCAGCTCCGGTAATGTAAACAAATTGAAACCGTTGCTATCAAATTATTAGCATAAATGTGTGTCATCCAAGATGCACAAATTGTATGTTTATGTTGATGAAGAGAAAAACACACCATTTTGTTGATCTGGAAATCTGTTGCCTAGAACTTATAGAAATATTAATATTTTTAAACATCATTGAAGATCTGGATTTGAGTCCCATGGACTATTATCTAATAATGGTTTGGGAAAAGCAGTGTGCGGAAAAAAAAAGAGCAGTTCATTGACTCATGACACACAAACCAGCTTTCCAACTGATAGCTGATAACTCTCAGAGCTGCCCCCATACTAAAACAAGAGTACTCACGATGCACACATTGTCCTACTATGCTGTAGTCTATGGTTCCTTGATATCTGAAAGGGATGGTGCCATCTAGTGTAAAGGGACCACTGTAACAACGTCTACAAAGCATGTTTGATTTGCATGTAATACATTGTGTTGGACAGTATAGTGATGGTCAGGCTATTCCGGAGCATACAGGCTAGTAGCCTATTATAATCATTGGGTTAAATATTCCATTATGTAATGGATTAGTGTTGGTAGTAGGCTATTAGTGATGATATAGCTATAATGCAAATATATTAATCAAAGATCCACTTTGCTATACATAATGCTATCCATGCTGGATAGTAAATCCAGGCTGTTGCTAAAATTCTATATAATTCATGGAGGTCTGTGGTTGAATTTGTGTTCTTGAAAACATATACGTCACGACCCCATTGGTCATTTGGTCCCGTTGGTTTAACAGCCATTGGGTAGATATGATGCCTATCATTAGCGCTGAACTGACTGAATTGACGTTCAATGCACCCATGCTCTAGTCGAGGACACTGAAGTTTATTTAATAGCTACCCTCGTGTATAATTTCTAAACTACAGGCAATGGGAAGTTAACAGGAAAATCAGAAGTTCTGGGACCTGGCGTTTTTTATCGAGTGAAGCAGATGTTATTGTTTTGTCTTTCTGTAGAAATGGGCTCGACAAACTCCACCCTGTCAAAAATTCCAAACGTCGAAGAATTAATGCAAGAAACGGGTTGTAAGTTCTCCAATGGGTAGGACTGTAATTTAGGCTACAAGAAAAACGGTATTGAGATTGTCATGATTGTACAATAACGTCATAGTTTATGCTTCGAGGACAAATCTTTGAGAGTGGGCGTATAACGGGATTTCATTATGGATGTTATTGTGACAGCTGTATGGATCCCAGTTGTTCTATTCCTTCTATTGCATTTTTTCCTCAAAGTTGTACAGCGCAGATATGTTGAAATGTGTGCAAATTATTCATCGCTTTCGCAACCTTAATCGCGTGCACAACTTTGGCTGACAAAAATACGCATGCGTCCTACCCAACCAACTACAGTATTGAATATCTAAGCTTTGAACAGAGACTTAAATTGAAATATACATGTGGCTTTGAGAAGTTGTAGGCAAATGAATAACTTGGCCTTTAGGCTACTTTTATAAATGCTTGAATAATTCATGGCGTGTTTGCTTGAATGGAATCCAGAGCAATGAACTGGCCTCTATATGGTTATTGCAAATATTGCTTAACTTATTTCGTGTGCCACTGTCCTGCCCCATTACTAATAGCATGAATCGATGGTTCTCTTGTTTTCTCATTATCATAGTCACCCCTGCACACATTGTTCGACTTTATGATCGTTTCGAAGCATTGGACAAGGAGAAGACAGGCCATCTCCGGTAAGTGGTGGGACCATGTCAGCTTTATGGAGTTTGTTTGTTGAAGCAGTTTTGACTAAAACAGTGCATGTCAGAATAATAATAATAATGTCTGAATGTCCTGTCTTTGTTTTATCCCCATTACTGTGAAGCCCACAGGATTTCGGAGCCATTAATAGGTTGGCGATGAACCCCATTGGGGATCGGATCATTGGGGCTTTCTTCTCTCCAGGGTATAGAACAACATTTCTTACAGGTTTGAGTAAAATTACTGACTTGATAACCTCACCAATGAAATGTTAAGGTGAAGGTTAATGTCCATTTTCGCTGTAATATAAAAGTCCAGGCTTTTTGTATGTCTCCTTAAAGAAACAGAGAGCACAACCAACAAGACTAAATATTGATTTAACTTCAGTCGATTCTGTGCAACAATAAAAAATAAAATATCCATGTATCCTGTACGTTCAGAATGTAAGCAGGTTCTGGTCTTAAAATAATATCTCTCTCAGACAGGAAACAGTGGACTTCCACTCCTTTGTGAGGATCCTGGCCCACTTCCGGCCTGCGGACAAAAACCGTCCGAAAGATCCCAGTATGCCTGAACCTGTCAACAATAGGACCAGTAAACTCAAGTGTGAGTCCTCTGGCTGATTTCTTTTTTTTGTGGTTAACTCACAAAATTGATTTTAGCACTCAAATTCAACTCAATCAGGTCCTCCCTGGTTTTCTCCTTACTTTCAGTTGCCTTCCAACTATATGACCAGGACAAAGATGGTAAAATCTCCAGAGCTGAGCTTCTACAGGTCCGTCATAACTGTTTGCTTTACTGACAATAATACTCTGTATGGTGAGCAACACAATATACCACCAATAGTTAGTGATGCAAATTGTTTCTCTGTTGTAAACCAGGTCTGGTATGACCCTACAATTGATGGCTAAAATGCCTACACCCTATACCAGAGGTATTCAAATCTTACACTATGAGGTCCGGAGCCTGCTGGTTTTCTGTTCTACCAGATAATTAATTGCACCCACCTGTTGTCTCAGGTCTAAATCAGTCCCTGATTAGAGGGGAATAATTAAAAAAGCAGTGGACTGTCTTCAAGGTCGGGATTTGAATTTGAGGGCCCTATACAATAGAATGAAGCCATTCTCCAATGGGTTTGGGATGTGATTGACAGCTGAGGGTGATTGACAGGTGCTGCGGTCCATGCTGGAGATGCAGGTGACGGAGGAGCAGCTAGAGAGCATTGCGGACCGCACCATCCAGGAGGCTGACCTGGACAAGGATGACGCCATCTCCTTTGAGGAGTTCCGCAAGGTACCACCGGGAGGAACTCTAACACTGACATATCAACATGATGCATTGCAGCACAGTGCACCCAGAATTCTAAGACATACAAAGTTCATGTCCATAGAAAATAATGTTGGCCATTGCTGTAGTCAAACAGCATACTGTACATTGTACGATGACAGTATTTTGCCTATCCTGTCTCATATTCAGTGGCTGCATGTGTTGTATTTGATTGTGATGTAATATACAGTGGGGAAAAAAAGTATTTAGTCAGCCACCAATTGTGCAAGTTCTCCCACTTAAAAAGATGAGAGAGGCCTGTAATTTTCATCATAGGTACACGTCAACTATGACAGACAAAATGAGAAAAAAAAATCCAGAAAATCACATTGTAGGATTTTTAATGAATTTATTTGCAAATTATGGTGGAAAATAAGTATTTGGTCAATAACAAAAGTTTCTCAATACTTTGTTATATACCCTTTGTTGGCAATGACACAGGTCAAACGTTTTCTGTAAGTCTTCACAAGGTTTTCACACACTGTTGCTGGTATTTTGGCCCATTCCTCCATGCAGATATCCTCTAGAGCAGTGATGTTTTGGGGCTGTCGCTGGGCAACACAGACTTTCAACTCCCTCCAAAGATTTTCTATGGGGTTGAGATCTGGAGACTGGCTAGGCCACTCCAGGACCTTGAAATGCTTCTTACGAAGCCACTCCTTCGTTGCCTGGGCGGTGTGTTTGGGATCATTGTCATGCTGAAAGACCCAGCCATGTTTCATCTTCAATGCCCTTGCTGATGGAAGGAGGTTTTCACTTAAAATATCATGATACATGGCCCCATTCATTCTTTCCTTTACACGGATCAGTCGTCCTGGTCCCTTTGCAGAAAAACAGCCCCAAATCATGATGTTTCCACCCCCATGCTTCACAGTAGGTATGGTGTTCTTTGGATGCAACTCAGCATTCTTTGTCCTCCAAACATGACGAGTTGAGTTTTTACCAAAAAGTTATATTTTGGTTTCATCTGACCATCTGACATTCTCCCAATCCTCTTCTGGATCATCCAAATGCACTCTAGCAAACTTCAGATGGGCCTGGACATGTACTGGCTTAAGCAGGGGGACACGTCTCGCACTGCAGGATTTGAGTCCCTGGCGGCGTAGTGTGTTACTGATGGTAGGCTTTGTTACTTTGGTCCCAGCTCTCTGCAGGTCATTCACTAGGTCCCCCCGTGTGGTTCTGGGATTTTTGCTCACCGTTCTTGTGATCATTTTGACCCCACGGGGTGAGATCTTGCGTGGAGCCCCAGATCGAGGGAGATTATCAGTGGTCTTGTATGTCTTCCATTTCCTAATAATTGCTCCCACAGTTGATTTCTTCAAACCAAGCTGCTTACCTATTGCAGATTCAGCCTTCCCAGCCTGGTGCAGGTCTACAATTTTGTTTCTGGTGACCTTTGACAGCTCTTTGGTCTTGGCCATAGTGGAGTTTGGAGTGTGACTGTTTGAGGTTGTGGACAGGTGTCTTTTATACTGATAACATGTTCAAACAGGTGCCATTAATACAGGTAACGAGTGGAGGACAGAGGAGCCTCTTAAAGAAGAAGTTACAGGTCTGTGAGAGCCAGAAATCTTGCTTGTTTGTAGGTGACCAAATACTTATTTTCCACCATAATTTGCAAATAAATTCATAAAAAATCCTACAATGTGATTTTCTGGATTTTTATTTCTCAATTTGTCTGTCATAGTTGACGTGTACCTATGATGAAAATTACAGGCCTCTCTCATCTTTTTAAGTGGGAGAACTTGCACAATTGGTGGCTGACTAAATACTTTTTTTCCCCACTGTATATACCAATTCCACCATTCCACTCGGTCTAACTTTGGCTTTCCTTTTTCTTACAGTCCCTGGAGAAGGTGAACATCGACCACAAGATGAGCATTCGCTTCCTGCGCTAGTTAGAGTGGTTACATTGGGTCAACTGATCGTTCACAGAGATGTAGCCCACTTTGTGTGTACTCATCCCTCCATGGTAAAAACAAGGCTTCTGCAGGGAAATATGACTGATTCCTTTAACTGGATGACTAACACTAAATACCTTAAATGACTGACTAATATGCTGTATCTTAATATGTTGTTTACAGCATACTGGAATATGGGCGTCATGTTCCAAAGTCTAACTGCACTATAGGCCTACTGTATCACTACATAGTAACTAACTGCTTTTATATAATACTGTAAAATGCCATTTAATAATAATAATTATACATGGGACTTATATAGCGCTAATCAATGACCCAATATCGCTTTACAATTGTACAAAACAAATATTTAAAAAATGTGTGAATAATCTACATTTTAATCTATGTTAGTTTTGACAAGGGCAAACATAAGCTTTTATGAAGGGAAACAGATACTTGAAGTTCACTCTTCCTTGTACATTTTTTAAAAGTAAGACTTGACTGTAATAAGTCTCTAGATGTAGCAGTCGGTGTCCAAATACACTGAACATGGGAACTATACATACGAGTATGAAAGTGATAGAATATTTCTACAAATAAGTATTTTTCTAAATGATACCATTGATTTACTGAGTTGCATATGAGGAGAAAGGCCATGAAAAAGTTAAGCTTGGCTATTATTGTGTTTCAATATATTTGATTTAGAGAGAATGACAGTCACACAAAATGAATGTCTACATTTTCACCCAGGGTAACGAAAGGGTCTGTTTGTGACTGACTGGATGACATTGACCTAATGTGTGCCAAAATGTATTTCTCAAATCTATGCATTTTTTGGTCAGATACATGGAATCTTAATTAAATAACCCTATTGGTATTTGGGTGGAGTATCTTTGCGTATTTCAAGCATCAGTACATTTTGCTTTTTGATGTTACTGATTCAAATAGTCACACCTCCTGTTGCTATCTACGGCCATATAACATGGGGTTATTTTCAAAGTTTGTTCTGTGTGAAATGTTCCTTAAAATTGGGTGGCAGGAATAGATCTTTTCACTGAGGTTAAGTGAAATAACACATGGGCGATAGAGGAAAATAAAGTATTTCTTAAGTGGTTGACATTCACACACACTGACATTCAGGCTTGCCTTGAAACAGAGGCATAATGGAGAGATTTATTCTGTACATAAAGTGTGCCATGACAATAGAAGAAGGTCATAAAGTGGAATTGATTTAAACAATAAACACATGCATTAGCAGGGCTTCCTCATTTGCCCTTAGGCTGACAAGCACATAGAATCCAGAATAAGGAGTATCCAGTGCCTTAAAAGAACAGAAAGACACAATGATTAGAACATATATGATGCAGCATAGAAAACCCTCAGCACAATACTCCAAATGTACACAGTGCGTTGATGGAAGAATGTAACAGGGACCTGCGAGGGTGATGGTCATTGTTAGACGGTAGAGAAGGACATCAGTGGTCCCGCCCTTGATGTGGACTGGCAAGTCGTTGTCCGCCTGTAACCAAAGTTAGGGGTCAAATCACTGGAGGCATTTATTTTAAGCCAAAAATTACTTTGTGATATGTGATGATAAAATCAGACTGAATTGCATTCCGGACCAGAACGGAACAACTATCCCCTCAGGCCCCTTTAAAACCCTTAATGCTCCTTTTCTATGTTCAATACTGTGACAAGTCTTGGAGGACCTCAGGCAATTCACCAATCTTGCAACATGACACATCCGGTAGATCACAATCAGGTCAATGTTGCTCTACAGTACTTCATTGAACATGTTCTGCAGACATTGATGAATGTCTTTGTTTGCTGCCAAAATCACATCTTGTTGACATTGTTGGCCCATTGTTTGCCAATAAATATCTAAATTCACTTGTTTTCTTAGTTTGGGATTGTTTATCTCCCAGGCGTCCTAATGATGTCATGCTCACCTGGAATAGCTTCTGATGATCTGGCACCTTGTTCTTCATCTGTTTGGTTGTTGTGCTGAAGGCTCTGATAGCCAACCTAGGCAGCTTCTGAAAGGATCCCACAGTCACAAAATCAGCCATGTTATCCTGTGCCAGCATAGGATGTGAAAGCTAGATTGAAAATATAGGGTTTACGCCAAAACATTCCTTTGTAGCCCTTTCTGCCAAATGTCCAAAACAAATCGGTTGGATTCTTAATGGGACATGCTGACTGAGCAGCTGAGGCTAGGTGCTGTTTTCATAGTGTTTCTAGTAGAATACATCATTTGATAATAACATAACAATAGTATAGTAAGTTATTTAGAGAATGGATGATCAGGATTAGATGGTAATATTAGCGTGGCATTTACCTTTGGGTTTCAACACCTGTTTTTCTATTTTCACTTTTAGAGGGATGTGATACTAGCCTTTGAGAGAGTGCTTGTTTTTTTCTATAAGAGGAAAGAGCTATGGAAAACTCTTTGGGTTACTCTTACTTCCCTTTCTGTTGAAGTAGTGTTAGTCATGACAACATCTGCTATTGTATACAGTCTTGGTTATGAGAGGAAATATCCACTTCTAACCTTTTGAGTGGTTCCCATACACAATTCTTTTTTACAGAACTCCAAATGTTCCTTTTTATGTTATTTTAACAGCATGCAGGGGGGAATTTCACATGACTTGTAGGTGTGTATCACCTTCTTTAGTATGTTTTAGACTTTTTGAGTGAATATACCATTTTGGCATCTTATACATGCTTTCCATCCAAAGTGATGCTAGTTTCAAAGACAGCTGGGTTGTCACATCAAATATGCTTGATTAAATCAACATCCTCCAAGATACCAAAAGAACAAAACCAAAAGGATTCTCTGTAAACAAGGCAGAGATTCAATTTCCTTTTACAGAGATTATGTCACTCCTAATGAAATATGAAATCAGACCACCTATCGATATTCTGTAAAATGACATTGTCAAGTGCATACCGGTATATAACCATTATTGTCAATTAGATAATCTGTTGAAAATCGGGGTGAAACCATACCATCTAACCCATACAACTTGTTCTGACCCATTATGTTCATTCATTATAACAGCACTATTTCAGCACTGGGGACTTGTGTTCTGAAAGAAAGTAATCTCTTTTCAAGTTTTTAATCTATTGGTCTTTGTATCACGTTAACATTTTCTGTGAGGTGAATCTCTTACTAATTTTTACTGTCACAGGCAAAACCTTTTCATTTCATTAAAGGCAATTTTGTATACTTCTGTTGACTTGGGCTCTGTCCCTTTAAGAGAACTGTACCACCGTATAATATCTACCAAGGTCAAATTGGGTGCCTGAACCAGCAGGGCGAGAACTGGCATTGCTGCCAGCCAATGACTGCCACACAACCTGTGACCTCAACCAATTAGATTATATATTTTGGAGGGAGAGAGGAACATTAAACCCTTCCCCTTGGACTGGATTCCCTGTGTGTGTGTGTGTGTGTGTGTGTGTGTGTGTGTGTGTGTGTGTGTGTGTGTGTGTGTGTGTGTACATGTGTACGTATGTGTAAGCTATATGTGGATATGGCACAGTTTGCCTAGAGAAATCATAAAGGAAAGATAGAGGAAATGTGAACCAATGAAAATATATAAGACTAATATACAATGGCATTTTTCCACCTCACCAAGAAGTGAGAGAGATATAATTAAAATGATATGACCTCTCAGTAGGAGCTTGTAAACTAGATATTTTAAAAGAACAATAAGACCCAGTTTTTTATTAAATTTCATCTGAATAACGTAGTCCCCTGTAGCTCAGTTGGTAGAGCATGGTGCTTCCAACGCCAGGGGTGTGGGTTCGTTTCCCATGGGGGGCCAGTATGAAAATGTATGCACTCACTAACTGTAAGTCGCTCTGGATAAGAGCGTCTGCTAAAATGTAAATAACAACATGAGTCCAAAAGGACCTTACAGAGAGATCATCTAGACAGATAGAAATATATCTCTGTAATTACATTGAACTAGAATGACATCTCCTGGGACCAACCATTTTGCTGGCCTCGCTATCAATCGACCACAGTAACAACAAGTAATCAGGAAGACAGCACATCTCATTTTGCCATCTACTCTCCACAATAATAAAAGTTGGTACAAAGGTCAGTCCAACTGTACTTCCCTTTCCAAATAAGATCCAAGATTCTACTAATACAATTATAATTATTTATATGATTCAGATTACCATTGGCAGCAGAGAGAACATAAATATTAGGAAGAATAGTTAGTTTTTACCAGTAAGTGATTCATGGTGGAGGTTGTACTCAGTGTGAAGCCTCTTTCTGCTTGTCTAGCCGTGGCCCGTACAAGGGCACAGTCACATATTGCAGCAATTCTGAATAGGAGCCAAACTATGGTAACCAGGAGAGACCAAACTCTCCCGGAACTATGGAAGTGCTCAAGCCTTCACTCCCAAGGTCTAAAATTGCTTCTTTGGTTGCCGTTGTCCACAATGATTTCTGTCCTCACACATCATTAAATATAAATATGTTTATTTTTAATTGAAGTGAAATTCTTTATATGGAAAATGTATGCTTCTCATTGACAGTTTATACTTAGGTACTCTCATTCCTGTATTTGCATCATTCTAATTTATTCACTTGCTTTCAGGGCACACTGTCCATCTTCCAGTTGTGTGAATAATATTATAAAAGAGTCTCAAAGCCTCTTCAACTGGTGTCTAACACAAGATATTAGCACATCATTTGCTATGACATGCCTATGAATCGACAAGTTTGCGGTTTCTTTCATGTTTATGAGAACAACATACTTCAGACTTTTTCACATACAATTGTAGCCAACATATTATTTATGTCACACTCCTAGACTAGCATAAATATGTTAGTGCTGCCCATGGAGGCCTTGCTTACTGTCCTTACCCTCACCCTGGAGTCCGACCCCTGGACAGCAGACCAGCAGGAAAAGCAAGATCAGGATCTTGCATTGTAAATACTCCAATCCAAAGGTGTAATGTAGATCAAAGTAGACTTTTCAATTTAAGACTAGTTATTTTTCAACTTCTATAATACATGTCTATTTTTGACTATAATATATCTTTTTGGACAAGCATACTTGAGTGTGATGTATTATTATGTTGAAATATGAAATAGTCTTGGGCATTAGGATACAGAATCATTCTATCTCTCCCAGGTTCTGTACATGGCAGTGTTTGAAGTTTACTCTGCAGTGGCCTTGGAGCTTCTGTTTGGTGAGTTCAACCACTTCTCCATAGCACTTCACCATCCTCATCGTCGTCAATCACCCATTCTTGTTATTCTAATTCAATCTAACTCTGCACAGGGTCTAAAGTATTCATCTCAATGCAGAATACCTCCAAACATCCAGAACTGGACTATCCATGGACTGTGGTCATTTTATTTTATTTTAATTCTTAAAGGGGAAATGTGTGATTGGTACATCCATGTTTGGACTTTTGAATTAGTTATACAGTCAGGTCCATAAGTATTTTTGACAGTGACACAATTTGCATCATTTTGGCTCTGTATGCCACCACAATGGATTTGAAAGGAAACAATTAAGATGTGCTTTAAGTGTAGACTTTCATCTTTAATTTAAGGATTTTGTCAAAATTATTGTATGAACCGTGTAGGAATTACAACCATTTTTATACATAGCCCCCAATTTTAGGGGCTCAAAAGTAATTGGACTAACTAACATAATCATACATTAAATTGTGAGTTTTAATACTTGGTTGTGTCACGCCCTGGCTCTGGGGACTCTCGTATGTTGAGCCAGGGTGTTTATTTTGTTTAGGTTCTAGTCGTTGTCTATCTATGTTGGCCTGAGTGACTCCCAATCAGAGGCAACGAGTGTCAGCTGGTTGTCTCTGATTGGGAGCCATATTTAACTGTCTGTCTTTCACTTTGTGTTTGTGGTTTCTTGTTCGGTTTGTGTTAAACCGTAGACATCACGTTATCGTCCGTTGTTTTGATCGTGTGATCATTCTATTAATAAATATGTACGCATTCAACGCTGCGCCTTGGTCCTCATCTTTGGTAGACGATCGTGACAGAAGAAACCACCAAAACTGGACCAAGCAGCATGTCCAGGAGCCATCGCCTGGGGAATCGCTTACAGATCTCCGTGGCAACCTGGACTGGGTCCAGCCTTGTAAAGAGCAGAGTGGATGGACTTGGGAACAGTGGAGGAAGAGTTTCGACTGGGTCAAGCCTAATGAAGAGCAGAATGGCTGGAATTGGGGGCAGAGGAGTGAGAGTTGGGCGAGAACGATAGAGGCCTGGCCCACGGGGAGGAGAGACCCCCAGAAAAATTTTAGGGGGGGGCTCACGACGTCGGGGCAGCAGGAGGCCGCGGTAGAGCGGTCCAGCGGGTTGGCAGAGGAGGCCGCCAGGTTACGGGGGCCACTGGTAGAAGAGGGGATGGAAGGTGTAGAGGCACGGCGAGAGGTACTGGCGTGTGTTGCCAGTCCGGTCCGGCCTGTTCCTGATCCCCACGTAGGGCCAGTGGTGTGTGTTCCCAGTACGGTCCGGCCTGTTCCTGCCACTCCCACCAAGTCAGTGGTGCGTTTCGTCAGCCCGGCGCGGCCCGTTCCTGCTCCCCGCACCAAGTCAGTGGTGCGCGTCGTCAGCCCGGTCCGGCCCATTCCTGCTCCCCGCACCAAGTCAGTGGTGCGCGTCGTCAGCCCGGTCCGGCCCATTCCTGCTCCCCGCACCAAGTCAGTGGTGCGCGTCGTCAGCCCGGTCCGGCCCATTCCTGCTCCCCGCACCAAGTCAGGGGTGCGCTTCGTCAGCCCGGTCCGGCCCGTTCCTGCTCCCCGCACCAAGTCAGTGGTGTGCTTCGTCAGCCCAGTCCGGCCTGTCCCTGCTCCACGCACCAAGCCTACGGTGTGCATCGTCAGCCTGGTAAGGCCCGTTCCTCCTCCACGCACCAAGCCAGGGGTGCGCGTCGTCAGTCCAGCACAACCCGTGCCTGGGTCATGTCCGGAGCCGGATCCGCCGCCGAGGCGGAGTACCCACCCGGTCCCTCCCCTGTTGTGGTTGGTTGGCGCGGTCGGAGTCCGCGCCTTTGGGGGGGGGGGGTACTGTCACGCCCTGGCTCTGGGGACTCTCGTATGTTGAGCCAGGGTGTTTATTTTGTTTAGGTTCTAGTCGTTGTCTATCTATGTTGGCCTGAGTGACTCCCAATCAGAGGCAACGAGTGTCAGCTGGTTGTCTCTGATTGGGAGCCATATTTAACTGTCTGTCTTTCACTTTGTGTTTGTGGTTTCTTGTTCTTGTTTGGTTTGTGTTAAACCGTAGACATCACGTTATCGTCCGTTGTTTTGATCGTGTGATCATTCTATTAATAAATATGTACGCATTCAACGCTGCGCCTTGGTCCTCATCTTTGGTAGACGATCGTGACAGGTTGCAAATCTTTTGCAGTCAATGACTGCCTGAAGTCTGGAACCCATATACATCACCAGATGCTGGGTTTCTTCCCTGTTGATGCTCTGCCAGGCCTTTACTGCAGCTGTCTTCAGTTCCTGCTTGTTCTTGGGGTGTTTTGCCTTCAGTTTTGCCTTCAGCAAGTGAATACATGCTCAATTGGATTCAGGTCAGGTGATTGACTTGGCCATTGCAGAACATTCCACTTCTTTCCAATCTGAGCAGATAATATAGCCCTAAACACTTCAGAATTCATCCTGCTGCTTTTCTCAGCAGTCACATCATCAATAAATACAAGGGAGCCAGTTCCATTGGCAGCCATACATGCCCACGCCATAACACTACCTCCACCATGATTCACTCTCCCTTGCGTTACTTCCAGATATGTCTGAAACTACGTGGCCGCTTCGATATTGACCGGTCAGCCCCACTGCTCACATTCACACATCTAACCTGCCTGTTTCACCATTACACATCGTCAAACCTCTGACAGCTTGCATTTTTATCCTGGCTAAGTTACCTGTTCTCCACCCGTTATTCAGAGCCTTGGAGGATGCAGACGTCAAGCCCTCCTGTAACCAGTCTTATCAGGTAGGTAATCCCCATCACCTTGGGGAAGGGTTAAGAGACAGCTATAGGCATTGCATTGTGGGGTTTACAGAAACTAAATAGAATTACAATGCTTTTCCTGTACCCTTATTTGGATGTACAGACTGAGACACTGCATCCAAATAAGGATATGAAGGCTATAAACATTGTAATTCAATAATTTTGCCTTTTTACAGCATGGGTTTTAGTAGGGGTCTTATAAAATAGAACCACTTAAGTGAACTTGTTTGGTTGAGATCAGAAACAAAAGAGAAACCCTGAGAACATGACAAATAATTCCTATTTATGACAAAAAGGCAATTACCTTTGAACATAAAAAGTTGACATGGGGAAGTAGGATGAAACTTGAGGAATTCCAGCTGAATAAGTCTCTTACTGCATTGTTCTGCCATCTGTTCAGTACGATGAAGTCAACCATGCTCTGGCCCCAGTCATTGGAGATGACCCTGGTGTCCAGATTCAGTGTATAAATGATGACAAGGTAAGCATCCCTAGCCTGAGTGCCAGTCTCTTCTGTGCTATCATCCAAACTATTTGGCTTGACAAGGTCAGCAATGGAATAAGCAAGAGCACGAACAAGCTAAAGCATCACTGTAGTACTGTACCAAACCACACATTAACACCACTTGAGTGTTCACCGTTTGCCTTTGGTGTAATTTGGCAATAGCGTTGATGCTTCAAATATATTGCAGTTGTAGAGAAACATTGTTTATTTGTGGGTGTGTAAATGGAATCCCCCATCACTTCCCTCAGGGACAAGAAGTGTTGGTCCAGGTGAAGATCCCTCTGTCGCACACTTTTCCTGGGCACCCCTGTCCACAGGACTCCCGTCTTCTACTTCCCTATAAACTACGACCGCCCACACCAGCCCTGTGACTAGCGTTACGTCTGCCCTCACCACAGACTGGGTTGCCATGCCTGCTGGCTTAACCTAATGATAAGCAAGTTCTTGAATTGCAGGGCTCACATCTTTGAGGTAGATTACATTTAAGGCAGTCATATAGTATACAGGCACTTTATGTTCTTTAAGTATTTTTGTTCCACAAAACATGCTTTTGGTGATTAAAGAACATATATATTTTTTTAAATAAAAAAATGCTAAACATTTAAAGAGTATTTTAAAGCACCTTATTGTTACCTACACTACTAATCAAACGTTTGGACACACCTACTTATTCAAGGGTTTTTCTTTATTTTCTACATGGTAGAATAATAGTGAAGACATCAAAACTATGAAATAACACATATGGAATCATGTAGTAACCAGAAAAGTGTTAAACAAATCAAAATATATTTTATATTTGAGATTCCACCCTTTGCCTTGACAGCTTTGCACACTCTTGGCATTCTCTCAACCAGCTTCATGAGGTAGTCACCTGGAATGCATTTCAATTAACAGCTGTGCCTTCTTAAAAGTTAATTTGTGGAATTTCTTTCCTTCTTAATGCGTTTGAGTCAATCAGTTGTGTTGTGACAAGGTAGGGGGGGTATACAGAAGATAACCCTAGTTGGTAAAATACCAAGTCCATATTATGGCAAGAACAGCTCAAATAAGCAAAGAGAAATGACAGTCCATCATTACTTTAAGACATGAAGGTCAGTCAATACGGAAAATGTCAAGAACTTTTGAAGTTTCTTCAAATGCAGTTGCAAAAACCATCCAGCGCTATGATGAAACTGGCTCTCATGAAGACCACCACAGGAATGGAAGACCCAGAGTTACCTCTGCTGCAGAGGATAAGTTCATTAGAGTTACCAGCCTCAGAAATTGCAGCCCAAATAAATGCTTCACAGAGTTCAAGTCACAGACACATCTCAACATCAATTGTTCAGAGGGGACTGTGTGAATCAGGCCTTCATGGTCGAATTGCTGCAAAGAAACCACTACTAAAGGACACCAATAAAAAGAAGAGACCTGCTTGGGCCAAGAAACAGGAGCAATGGACATTAGACCGGCGGAAATTTGTCCTTTGGTCTGGAGTTCAAATTGGAGATTTTTGGTTCCAACTGCCGTGTCTTTGTGAGACGCAGTGTGGGTGAACGGATGATCTCTGCATGTGTAGTTCCCACCGTAAAGCATGGAGGAGGTGGTGTTATGGTTTGGGGGTGCTTTGCTGGTGACACTGACTTATTTAGAATTCAAGGCACACTTAACCAGCATGGCTACCACAGGATTCTGCAGCGATATGCCATCCCATCTGGTTTGGGCTTAGTGGGACTATCATTTGTTTTTCAACAGGACAATGACCCAACACACCTCCAGGCTGTGTAAGGGCTATTTGATTACAACAACTCATTTGCAGTTATTTGAAAAGGAAATCATCTCCCAAATATCACTATTTCTAAAACAAGCCATAGAAAGTTGGTTGCAATTTCAATTTAATCCTCCAGAAACGACAGAACAAATAATGTAACAAATATTGTGGTTAAATTCAAATATACTAATTGACAAAAAACCTTTATTTTTTGACAGAATGTTTAAAAAAGGTATAATCTTCGTAAATGATATCATCGGTAGGACTGGTGGAGTTATGTCGCACATGCAGCTAACAAAAACATATGGAAATGTCTGCTCTACCCAAAATTACAACCAAATAATTGCAGCCTTACCGCAAAAGTGGAAGAGGAAAGTGGAAGGGGGAGAAAGTAAGGAACTTGTCTGTCGGCCTTGCATTAAAGAACATAATTGGTTAAGGAAAACTGTGATAAATAAAAAAGTATATCAGTTTCACTTAAGGACCAAAGGATTGACAGCCGTCCCATATAGATTGCAAAATAGTTGGGAAGAGATCTTTGACGTACTGATCCCATGGCATAGTGTTTATGAACTGACACGCAAAACGACACCGGATTCAAAAATTTGAATCTTTCAATTTAAATTATTATATAAAATTCTTGCTACCAATAGAATGTTATTTATATGGGGGATACAATCTTCCCAGCTCTGCAGATTTTGCTGTGAAGAGACAGAATCATTAGATCATTTGTTTTGGTTCTGTCCATTTGTAGCTTGTTTTTGGACACAGGTCCAGGAATGGCTAAAGGATTGCAATATTTACCTGGAGCTAACCTTGCAGATAGCATTACTGGGTGATCTGAAAAGACAGTCAATCAATCAATAATATAATAATATTTTTAGCAAAAATGTTTATTTTTAATTCACAATCTGTAGAAGCAATGAGAATAGAAAGGTTCAGAACTTTTGTAAAACATCACAGTACGGTTGAAATATATATGGCAAATAGAAATCCTATATGGATGGTGTTAAGAGATAGATGGGAGGTATTGAATAGAGTTGAAGGATGGGACTAATAACAAATAATAACAAAGATAGCTAATAATGTAAGCATACTGTGTCCATAATAAGTATATAGGTTGTATGATGGGAGCTTTTGGGAAAGAGCACAGTTAGAAAGATATGGCATATAGAAGCAAACCGGATGGACATCATGAAAATGATCGTAGTAGTTCACGAGCAAAAAAAATAATGTGTATATATATATATATATATATATATATATATATATATATATATATATATATATATAATAGAATTATTGTAAAATTAACTTTGTCCATAAGGTGTAGATAGTAAGTATAGACCGGAAGTAGAGGCCTGGGCATTGTTGTTCACTAATTTACTCCAAGTAGGGAAAGGATGGCGGGGTTGAAAAGTAATAAAGGGGAGTATATATATAAAAAAAACATGGGGGATTGGAAGTGATGCAGACAATTATGTAGCTCAGTTGGTAGAGCATGGCGTTTGCAACGCCAGGGTTGTGGGTTCGTTTCCCACGGGGGGCCAGTATGAAAAAATGTAAAAAATATTAAAATAATGTATGCACTCCAACTGTAAGTTGCTCTGGATAAGAGTGTCTGCTAAATGACTAAAAAGTAATTACATTGATTGTATCTTCTATCTAAAAAAATAAATTAAAAAAAGGAGAGTGATGGAGTGCTGCATCAGATGACCTGTCCTCCACAATCCCCCGACCTCAACCCAATTGAGATGGTTTGGGATGAGTTGGACGGCAGAGTGAAGGAAAAGCTTAGCATATGTGGGAACTCCTTCAAGACTGTTGGAAAAGCATTCCAGGTGAAGCTGGTTGAGAGAATGCCAAGAGTGTGCAAAGCTGTCATCAAGGCAAAGGGTGGCTACTTTGAAGAATCTCAAATCTCAAATAAATTTTGATTTGTTTAACACGTTTTTGGTTACAACATGATTCCATGTGTTATTTCATAGTTTTGATGTCTTCACTATTATTCTACAATGTCAAAAATAGTAAAAATAAAGAAAAACCCTTGAATGAGTAGGTGTGTCCAAACTTTTGACTAGTACTGTATATACAAAACGCAATGTTTTTAAAGACACCACACAGTGAAACAGTTCACATTTTATTGACATGGTATACTCTTACCCAAAAGGTAGTTTCTAAACCCAAAAAGTAAAGCAGACAAAAATTACAATCACAGAGCACTAAAAACTATTTGACTAACTGAAAAAACATATTATTCTTGTTTTGAGTGGTGTTGTTGTGAGCATGAGGTTGGGGTGTGATGGCTCAGAGCTCCAGCTTGCCCAGGAAGCGGAGGTTGAGAATCTTCAGCTGGTCATCCAGCTCCATCCTGACGATGCCGTCATCCCCGTCGATACTCAGTAGGATCCCCGTGGCCTCACGGTCCTCCCCTAGAATCACCTTCACCTGGAGAGAGGCACCACAGACAACAGATAACACACCATGAGCTGCCAGGGCCTTATGAACCATGCATCTGTCCACTGTCCAGTTTCCCCAGACCCAGATCTCTGTGAGCCCAGTAAAAAGGGTGTTGTGGTGAGAAGCAGCCTTACCTTGTTGTTCTTAGTTGGGGTGACAGGCTCCAGGTGTTCACTGGAGATGCTCACCACCTTCTCTGTGTCCTGGAGGAAGACGGAGCACATGCCACCCTGAGGAAGGAGAAGACGCATCAGGTCAATGATGGAGTACTTGGTTCAGCGCATTCATGTTGTGTTTGATAGAACATACTCGTCAACGTAACACATGCGTAAGACGGGTAAGGGGGGGGGCTCAGCCCCCTCAAATGAGACATGAGCTCCCCTAAATAAAGGGGGGGGGGGGGCTCTAATTTAACCATTCTCCTATTTGTTTATAGTATAATAATAACAACAATATAATAATAACATGGAGAGGTGGTGTGGTCTTTGCTACTCACCGTGACACTGCGGATGACACCTGTCTGGTTAACCACCTGGCTGTCCAGGAAGGTGTCCTTAACGCGCACCAGGATATCAGTGGTGACCCAGTCGCAGGAGGTCTGGTCGATGTTGGAGCCAGGAGTGTGGGGGTTGTAACCGCCTGGGGAGGGGGCGCCGGGGGTCATGGGGCTGTAGCCTACCGGGCTGGGGCTCGGACTGGCCTGGGGTGGGAAGACAGGAGGAGACAAAGATCAGAGCCGGGTTCCTGGATAGCGATGGAACTTAGGCTTAAGAGTGTTTTACCGATGCATCGTTCCTACAACAGCCAAAGATGTAATGCGCGTTTCTCATATATTTTTTTTCTCTCCATTAGTCCACTGTTAATACAGTCCAAAAATGTTTTGCATGCCAGCAGTCAAATTTTCAAGATATTGGACTTTCAAGAAGCAAAATTGTCACATCATCATGATGATGCAAAATGCATGCATATGCACGTTCTCTCTGCGTGGTGTTTTTAGAAACACTCGTTACATCTTCGGCTGTTGTAGGAACGATGCATCGTTAAAACACACTCTTAAGAGTGTAGATTTTTCCTTTTAATCTAACAGAATTATATGATCACCTATGGCTGCTAAAAGGCCTATTGAGGCAGCTTTTTCTATAATAAAGCACAAAATCACATTTGGTATGTCATTGTGCACATTGTTACACATCATATACACATCATACAAATCCAAATAACTTAACAGATCTTCATTGTAAAGGGTTTAAACACTTTCCCATGCTTGTTCAAATGAACCATGAACAACAAGATGTGGAACGGTCGTTAAGACACTAACAGCTTACAGACGGTAGGCAATTAAGGTCACAGTTATGAACACTAAAGAGGCCTTCCTACTAACTCTGAAAAACACCAAAAAAAGATGCCCAGGGTCCCTGCTCATCTGCGTGAACGTGCCTTAGGCATGCTGCAAGGAGGCATGAGGACTGCAGCTGTGGCCAGGGCAATAAATTGCAATGTCCGTACTGTGAGACGCATAAGACAGCGCTACAGGGAGACAGGGCGGACAGCTGAACGTCCTCGCAGTTGCAGACCACGTGTAACAACACCTGCACAGGATCGGTACATCCGAACATCACACCTGCGGGACAGGTACAGGATGGCAACAACAACTGCCCGAGTTACACCAGGAACGCACAATCCCTCCATCAGTGCTCAGACTGTCCGCAATAGGCTGAGAGAGGCTGGACTGAGGGCTTGTAGGCCTGTTGTAAGGCAGGTCCTCACCAGACATCACTGGCAACAACGTCGCCTATGGGCACAAACCCACCGTCGCTGGACCAGACAGGACTGGCAAAAAGTGCTCTTCACTGACGAGTCGCGGTTTTGTCTCACCAGGGGTGATGATCGGATTCGCGTTTATCATTGAAGTTCTGAGCGTTACACCGAGGCCTGTACTCTGGAGCGGGATCGATTTGGAGGTGGAGGGTCCGTCATGGTCTGGGGTGGTGCGTCACAGCATCATCGGACTGAGCTTGTTGTCATTGCTGGCAATCTCAATGCTGTGCGTTACAGGGAAGACATCCTCCTCCCTCATGTGGTACCCTTCCTGCAGGCTCATCCTGACATGACCCTCCAGCATCACAATGCCACCAGCCATACTGCTCGTTCTGTGTGTGATTTCCTGCAAGACAGGAATGTCAGTGTTCTGCCATGGCCAGCGAAAAGCCCGGATCTCAATCCCATTGAGCACGTCTGGGACCTGTTGGATCGGAGGGTGAGGGCTAGAGCCATTCACCTCAGAAATGTCCGGCAACTTGCAGGTGCCTTGGTGGAAGAGTGGGGTAACATCTCACAGCAAGAACTGGCAAATTTGGTGCAGTCCATGAGGAGGAGATGCACTGCAGTACTTAATGCAGCTGGTGGCCACACCAGATAATGACTGTTACATTTGATTTTGACCCCCCCTTTGTTCAGGGACACATTATTCAATTTCTGTTAGTCACATGTCTGTGGAACAGTTGTTGAATCTTATGTTCATACAAATATTTACACATGTTAAGTTTGCTGAATATAACAGTGAGAAGACGTTTCTTTTCTTGCTGAGTTTAATATTAAGGCAAGAATGACATAGCCTAGGCTACAGTAGTCTAAAATTAGCAACATAACTCAATTGATTGAACATTAAATTGATTTCAATATATAGGCCTATGTAGCCTACTGTATTCATCTTTTAATGGAGTCATCCCAGTTTGCATTTTAAGCATCTTTTTAACTTGTTTGAAACAATTGCAAAGACATTGGCAACTTTGTTTTTGTAGTCAACTTTGTTCTGAAGTTATCAGCTGTCAAAGAGACAGAAACATCTTGATTTTATGATTAGCAGAGAACTGAGTATAAGGTCATGCAGAAGGGCAACAAATCATCTGGACCACTAGAATAGGAAGCAGTCAGTAAATAACTAGCATTTTTAAGAGCAACTTCAATAACAAGTATTTTGGGAAACAGCTCGGAGATGAACAAATGGGAAACAAATGTGGGAAATTGGATACAGATCCGCATCCAAACATGTGTTTGATCGTAATCATTTTATTCCCCCTGGCAAGACTTCTATAAACCAAGTCTACTTAGTGGGAAAGACGTCAACACACTAAAAGCTACAATAGCGTATTGCAAAACCCTTTAAGAGAAATACTAGAGACAGATGTCCGGGAAATAATATGACGTGTGTGGCAGGGCTCGACATTAACGCTTGTCCAGGACAAAATAAATAAAAATACAAAACGTTGGACAAGAAGAATATACACAGAGTATACCAAACATTAGGAACACCTTCCTAATATTGAGTTGCACCGCCCCTTTAGCATCAATTCACCAGGGCATGGACTCTACAAGGTGTCGAAAGCGTAACAAGTGACATCAATAAGGGATCATTGCTTTCACCTGGTCAGTCTGTCAGGGAAAGAGCAGGTGTTCTTAATGTTTTATAAACTTAGTGTAGATTGAAGTTGTCTGAATGGACAAGTAAAAAAACAAAAACATATCAAACAATTACTCCGATCAGAATTTGATCAGAGAAGCCAACATTGGAATAATATTCAAATCTATTTTTCATGTACATAAAAAAAGCCTACATGTCAAAAGTGTAGGTGATATGCATATTGGCTACAGCCTCCTGTCCAAACCGATGCTGACATGAGGCGGCAAGAAATTTAGCCAAACTTTAATGACACTTTTAATTACATAAATATAGCTAAACGCCAGTCATGTTCGATAAATATAATGAAGATGATTAAAATGAAGGTCTAAAGGCTTGATTCTATCGACAGGCATGGCTTGTTCAGATCAAATCATCACAAGACCAGAGTGAAGGACAGTGCTTTTTGCGCGCCGTACATCACCCACCTTGAATCTGAGAAGATGCGGTCAGCATTTTGAAACTATTTAACCATAAACTTAAATTGTTTAAAACCAGGACCTTTTATGTCATTTTATGAAGCATGTCTTACCTTGTTTCAAAGAAGCTTCGCCTAGCCAAAACACGACCATAGAAATGTTGAGGGAGTTATTTTAGAAAACTATTCACATGCCATTGACACCAGCATTTCTCTTATTTTATTGTCTAGCAGCCAAAGGCACAATCCTGGTCATATTAGTAACACATGCTAGTTGCTGCATCTTTACATCTCCCCTCTTAATTTCTAACACATATTCTCTGTCACATGAAAACGCTCACAAGTGCGGTGTGCTTTTGAGAAGTGTTTTCCCACTAATTGCATTTTGGAATATTAATGTGTAGCCTACAGCCATATGCACATCAACATTTCTATCAACATTTTAAGCTTAACGGTTTGATCAGTTGCATCAGCCTCATTGCTTAAAAAACATATACAGTGGGGAGAACAAGTATTTGATACACTGCCGATTTTGCAGGTTTTCCTACTTACAAAGCATGTAGAGGTCTGTAATTTTTATCATAGGTACACTTCAACTGTGAGAGACGGAAATCCAGAAAATCACATTGTATGATTTTTAAGTAATTAATTTGCATTTTATTGCATGACATAAGTATTTGATACATCAGAAAAGCAGAACTTAATATTTGGTACAGAAACCTTTGTTTGCAATTACAGAGATCCTACGTTTCCTGTAGGTCTTGGCCAGGTTTGCACACATTGCAGCAGGGATTTTGGCCCACTCCTCCATACAGACCTTCTCCAGATCCTTCAGGTTTCGGGGCTGTCGCTGGGCAATACGGACTTTCAGCTCCCTCCAAAGATTTTCTATTGGGTTCAGGTCTGGAGACTGGCTAGGCCACTCCAGGACCTTGAGATGCTTCTTACGGAGCCACTCCTTAGTTGCCCTGGCTGTGTGTTTCGGGTCGTTGTCATGCTGGAAGACCCAGCCACGACCCATCTTCAATGCTCTTACTGAGGGAAGGAGGTTGTTGGCCAAGATCTCGCGATACATGGCCCCATCCATCCTCCCCTCAATACGGTGCAGTCGTCCTGTCCCCTTTGCAGAAAAGCATCCCCAAAGAATGATGTTTCCACCTCCATGCTTCACGGTTGGGATGGTGTTCTTGGGGTTGTACTCATCCTTCTTCTTCCTCCAAACACGGCGAGTGGAGTTTAGACCAAAAAGCTCTATTTTTGTCTCATCAGACCACATGACCTTCTCCCACTCCTCCTCTGGATCATCCAGATGGTCATTGGCAAACTTCAGACGGGCCTGGACATGCGCTGGCTTGAGCAGGGGGACCTTGCGTGCGCTGCAGGATTTTAATCCATGACGGCGTAGTGTTTTACTAATGGTTTTCTTTGAGACTGTGGTCCCAGCTCTCTTCAGGTCATTGACCAGGTCCTGCCGTGTAGTTTTGGGCTGATCCCTCACCTTCCTCATGATCATTGATGCCCCACGAGGTGAGCTCTTGCATGGAGCCCCAGACCGAGGGTGATTGACCGTCATCTTGAACTTCTTCCATTTTCTAATAACTGCGCCAACAGTTGTTGCCTTCTCACCAAGCTGATGCCTATTGTCCTGTAGCCCATCCCAGCCTTGTGCAGGTCTACAATTTTATCCCTGATGTCCTTACACAGCTCTCTGGTCTTGGCCATTGTGGAGAGGTTGGAGTCTGTTTGATTGAGTGTGTGGACAGGTGTCTTTTATACAGGTAACGAGTTCAAACAGGTGCAGTTAATACAGGTAATGAGTGGAGAACAGGAGGGCTTCTTAAAGAAAAACGAACAGGTCTGTGAGAGCCGGAATTCTTACTGGTTGGTAGGTGATCAAATACTTATGTCATGCAACAAAATGCAAATTAATTACTTAAAAATCATACAATGTGATTTTCTGGATTTTTGTTTTAGATTCCGTCTCTCACAGTTGAAGTGTACCTATGATAAAAATTACAGACCTCTACATGCTTTGTAAGTAGGAAAACCTGCAAAATCGGCAATGTATCAAATACTTGTTCTCCCCACTGTATATGTGCAGTGGTTGTATGAATTTTGGATCTGTCAACCTAGAACTGTCCTAGACATATGTTTTATTGTCCCAGGGACGACGGGACATCCTTCAATTTCAAGCACTAGAGGGAATTATTTTATAAAAGACATAAAAAGTATTTGGTTGTGATTGTAATGTTCCAATATTTTCATAGGCTACAAAGGGTGGCCCACCATCCTCCAGGATGCCTTAAAGGGGCAGTGTTGTATTTTGAGACAGGCTTGAATACATTTGTCTGATTCTCTATGGTAAAAAACATTTATTTTGTAAAATGGTTCCTTGCATCATACAGTGATGTAAAAATTGTGTTACAGACCATTTTTTATTTTTGGACAAGTAAAACAATTTAAAAAGAATCCTACTAAGTAGCTAAAAAAGTTAATGTCAACCGTGGTGGGTCTTACCTGGTATGCCATGGGTGAGGGGGTGGGGTGGTAGCTGGCTGGTGAGTGTGTGTTCTGGTAGCCCACTGGGCTGGGTGCCACCTGATTGTAGCTCTGGGGACTGGGGCTGGGCTGGTACGACCCCTGTGGGGAGGGGGCAGTGTACGGCGAGTACTGCTCTGTGTTGTACCTGAGGAACACACACAGTCAGTGGACTTGGCTAGGACGGAGAGAATCAAACCCACCTTGAGCAGTTGGTCGCCACTGTAAAAGGGGCCTAGAGACATTGAAAAATACAGGAAACAGACAAAATATTGTGTGCGTGTGTGTCTCACATGGCTGGGGTGCCTGGGGTCTGGGGGTTGTACTGAGGGTTGACTTGGGGTGAGGGCACCTCTGGGTAGCCGGGGGTCTGGGGGTTAGGCGTGCCCCCGTAGCCCTGAGGGGACGGGGAGGGCTCGTCATCATAACCAAACTCATAGTCATCATCCGTCCTGAAACAAGAGGAACAGAGGACCAGGTTAAAGGCTGTTTCCAAAAAGTTCCCCTATTAGGGAAACATCTTTTCAGGATCCGTAGTAAGTACAGACAATAGCTGTATTCAACTTTGACAACAAAGACCAAGACCAACAAACCCTTATCAACCATAGACTGCTGAGGCACTTTCCCTCATTTAGTTTTTCTACTAATCTTTCATAGACTATTAGTAGCGAAACATTGTTGAGAGGAGCTGGCAAGTACGCTATTTTCATTGTACTATGTACACTACCCGTATCGTTTGCATATTACAAAGACACTTTGATTTGACATGACAGAGAGAGCCCTATACAACACAAGCTGGGCCTCCAGGCTGCCAGGACATGTAGCCTACCTGGATGGTGTGTTGGGGTTGTTGGGGTCCCACGCTCCGCTCTGCCCCGGCGTCCTGCTCCCATCATGCAGCGGGGTCTGCGAGCCGTAGTGGGGCGTACGGCTCCCTTTGGGGAACAAGGATTCCCACAATGAGAACAAGTTCTATTGCAGGTCATAGATATATATTCTGATGGAGGTCCATAGAGGTATTCCCTTGGTGGGGTGTGTGTCTCACCATCGTGTAAGGGGGTCTGGGAGCCATACATTGGGGTACGGGAGCCTGTCCCGTACATGGGGGTCTGGGAACCGTACATAGGGGTGCGTCCGTGGGTGGAAGTCATTCCTCCATGCCTCTTGGCTCCCCTGAACGTAACAAAAACAAGTCAACACTCAATAACACTAAAAAGGTGAAATATTGCATTAATATAACTGCATTCACAATATATCTCTGATGATGTGAACGAACATTGTGGTGAGACGCTGTCGGTCCACAGAGATGGTCTGGCATGTCGAGTGCAGCTCCACTCTGGCTGTCGACTCTGTGGCGTCCTTCACCACTCCAATGTACCCTTGGAAATAATGGCAAGGGTTAGGCCAAAAAATACCTCATTGAGAACAAGAAGGATCAAAACCCATGGTGCAACAGCATCTTATGCAAAACGTGCCTATTGTTCATTCTATGGCAGAGGACAACCCTGTCTGGTTCCCATGTGAGCTGGTTCGGCCCTTTTGCTGCGTGGGAAACTCGGAAAATAGTACTTGTAAACTGTGAGAAACTAGTTGTGTGCAGTCACATGCTTTGAACTCGTTGAGAACTCAGATTGGCTAACGGCAAACAAGCTGTGTCAACCATAAACTGAAAGTACAGGTATCAGGCTCGCAAACAATTTATAGTTTTTTATAAAATAATGTTTTTCTGTTGCATTCACCGCCGAAAACGCTGTTACTGAGATCATTTCAATAGTATGTGATGTCAGATTTCAGCATGTGGGAGAAGTCCCACTAGTAATTACCAGTAGGGGGCGTTCAAGTGGATTTTTCCTAGTTGTATGCTGGTATTTACTAATTTACGAGATGTTATGAATATAGCATTACCCTTGTATGGTCCCTGGGAGATGCGGACGGTCTGTCCAATCAGGTCGTTGTCCCTCCTGCCCCGGCCACGCCCCATCTGTCCACCTCCTCCACCGCCCCTCTGTTGCTGGCCTGAAGGAGAGGACAGGAGTTGTTTAAGACCTCTGGTCTGATAGTTGTTATATAGTGTTGTATCCTGCACTTAGTGACTATTCCCTAATGTCTATAAATCAACAAAAGCAGTGTAATAAACAGTTTATGGTGAGTGGGACTATGACCTCATGTTCTCTAGTAGCTGAGCTGTCCTCTACTCACCACCACCTCCAGGATGCATGGGGCTGCTGATGCGTGGACTCATAGGAGCGAAGCCTCCCACGGTGAAGTTGGTGACGTCTCGGGGCTATAGCCAAAGAATGGAACAATCAAATGTCAACAACATTGGGTCCCACTGGAGAAGGTTAAGAGGTGATGGCATAGACGGAAGACTTGAATGTGATGATGTAAAAAAAAGTGGTGATGCGGTGAGAGCCAATGGGAGACTGACCTTGGAGCCCCCGGCCAGCACCACGTGGCGTGTCTTGCAGACGAACATGCCCCCGTTCTCCACCAGCTTCTTACAGTGCAGAAAGGCAAAGCCTCGGAAAATGTGGCGGATCTCTCCCTCACGCCCCTGGCAAACAAACCACACACACCACTTATATGCTAGCAATCTATTTATGCTAATCGTACCTCTGGCAAATAGAAAAACAGCTAGAGATGGGCGATAGGGCCTAAAACTCAACATACAGTCCCATTTTGTGCATGAAAATACATCAAAGCTCTTCAATGAGGGCTCGAGGAAAGTACAGTAACCAAACCTAGATGGAGGCCTATAGTAGACCCCTATATATTATTAAATTTTTTGGCCCAATTCCATTTAGTTTCCCCGCCCCGCCCCAAATTCAATTTTCTCCGTTTTGTTTTGCCAGATTTGACTATGTTTTTCCAGGTTTACCCTCTCAAAATCACTAATAGAAAAACAACACTGCATGTTCTAAGTCCACAACAAGGCTTAAATTACATCAGGAGACCACGTTTAAGGTCTGGGAAAAATCAAAGGAATTTTCGTTTTTGGGTGCCCTTTAATTCAAGTGTAAACCAGCAACAGACTTGTTTGGATTGGCAGTGTTTCTATAGCGCACATGGGACTGCAGAGTAATGTAAATAATGATGATTATTCTGCCAGGTAGGCATAGACTACTTTGTAGTTAACGTTTAATTGAGAAGGTTTTTTTGGAAAGCCTTTCCATCTACCAGAATACGGTTATCATTAGCATCATCGCTAACGGCTACACAGTGGTAGACAAACACGCACACAGACAGAGGCAATTCCGCATTGCCTCTTCAGAAAGTTGAAGGAAACTAAGAATCACTGACGCATTTTGTTCATATATTATGATAATTTTAGGCAAATTAATCAAATGTTCTAATAAGTTCAATACATTGAGTTGATTTCCTACTAACTTCAAAACATTTTTGAATATTGTTGAATTCCGTTTTTATGTCTGGATTCCATGATTCCGTCTGCGTTCTCCGCATGGCAGATTTTATAGGGAAATTGAGAAATACATTTTCTATGAGTTTAGACCTATAGAAAGCAGAACTGTGGTCATGAATCTTACCGAGTGTGGCCCGTCGATGACCTTGACAATGTCTTTGACGTGGATGTTGTTCTGCTCAGAGTCCAGCGCCACGGCAAAGCGGTTGTCTTTCCGCCGATTCACTGCCTGGTGACGCACCGTCAGCACCTTGCCGTGCATGTTGAGGACCTGGGGAGAAGAGGAATACAGTGCATTCGGAAAGTATTCAGACCCCTTGACTTTTTCCACATTTTGTTACGTTACAGCCTTATTCTAAAATGAATTACATATTTGATTTTTTCATAAATCTACACACACTACCCCATAATGACAAAGCAAAAATAAGTTTTAATAAATGTTTGCAAATTTATACAAAAGTTTAAAAAAACAGAAATATCACATTTACATAAGTATTCAGTCTACAAGCTTGGCACACCTGTACGTTTACGTCTACGTCATTTAGCAGACGCTCTTATCCAGAGCGACTTACAGTTAGTGAGTGAATACATTTTCATACTGTATTTGGGGAGTTTTTCCCATTCTTCTCTGCAGATCCTCTCAAGCGCTGTCAGGTTAGATGGGGAGCGTCACTTTACAGCTATTTTCAGGTCTCTCCAGAGATGTTTGATCGGGTTCAAGTCCGGGCTCTGGCTGGGCCACTCAAGGACTTTCAGAGAATCCACTCCTGCGTTGTCTTTGCTGTGTGCTTAGGGTCGTAGTCCTGTTGGAAGGTGAACCGTCAGTCCAGTCTGAGGTCCTGAGCGCTCTGGAACAGGTTTTCATCAAGGCTCTCTCTGTACTTTGCTCCGTTCACCTTTCCCTCGATCCTGACTAGTCTCCCAGTCCCTGCTGCTGAAAAACAACCCCACAGCATGATGCTACCACCACCATGCTTCACCGTAGGGATGGTGCCAGGTTTCCTCCAGACGTGACACTTGGCATTCAGGCCAAAGAGTTCAATCTTGGTTTCATCAGACCAGAGAATCTTGTTTCTCACGGTCTGAGAGTCCTTTAGGTGCCTATTGCAGGTCATAGATATATATTCTGATGGAGGTCCATAGAGGTATTCCCTTGGTGGGGTGTGTGAATACTTATGTAAATTTCTGTATTTCTAAAAACCAGTTTTCGCTTTGTCATTATGGGGTATTGTGTGTAGATTGATTAAATGTTTTATTAATTTAATCCATTTTAGATTAAGGCTGTAACAAAATGTGGAAAAAGTCAAGGGGTCTGAATACACTGTGCGTGTGCACAATTTTGGCTTGACTGTCACAATGAAACACACATTACACTACGTGCCAATTTTAAATTACGCAACATCACTCAAGTTTCCAGATAGTGGACAAAACATCTGTCCAGCAGGCACGACTCCAAGCCCACATCCAAGCTCTAATAAAATTTAATGTATTTTGTCCTGATCTGAACCTGATCATTTCTAAAGCGGAAATGTTTTTTGTGGAAGATTAAGAGTACCAACCTGGAATGTCTCCCTCTCCAGCCTGACAATAACCCCCACGGTCTGGGGGTCCAGTTGGACCAGCTCCCCCCACTCATGCTGGCCCCCGGCATCTACCCCTGACGCCGTCTCAGAGCACAGCTGCAAGTCTCGGGGCAGGACCTTCAACTGTAGAGCACACACACACACACCCGTAACATGGATAATGTTTCACAGAAGTCACATAGAAATTATGCAAAAATACCATTAAAACTAAAAAGTCGATGTCCCAGTCCAATAATGTGACATTGCTTACCTCGTGCATGGTGAGGTCAGAGAAGAGGATGACAAAGTTCTCCTCCACGCGTACGATGAGACCTGTGTCGCCCTCGTAGCGGCCTGCTATCACCTTGACGTGGTCACCCATACGGAAGTACTTCCTCAACTCGTGGGCCGGGAACTCCAGAGGATCCTGCACACAGACCAGGCATCAATGACAAACCATTATTATTTTGTATCAGTGCCAATAAGAATGAACAGAACACAGTGGGAATGTCTGGCTGCCTTAACTCATGTGAACATCTTGATTCCTCTGTAGCTCAGCTGGTAGAGCACGGCGCTTGTAACGCCAGGGTAGTGGGTTCGATCCCCAGGACCACCCATACACAAAAATGTATGCACGCATGACTAAGTCGCTTTGGATAAAAAGTGTCTGCTAAATGGCATTATTATTATTCCCGTAATTCTATACCTCCCACATTTCTGGGAAGCTTAATGTCTTCATCATGCTGTGATTAGAGTTTGTGCTCTCTAAATTCCAGTTTGTGGTTTCACTAATAAATAACACCTATGCAAACAAGAATCTGGGGCTGAATTCTACTTACACTACTTACGAAAAAACATAAGAAGTTTAAGGAAAAAAATAAGAAGTTCATGAGATAGTTCGTAAGTGTAATTCCTCAAAATGTTCTTAGGAATTCATAGTATCCTCAGGAATATCTTTCCTATGAACTTCGTTAATATCTTCTTACGTGGCATTGACATTAGTGAGGTGCTTTTTAATGGCGGTTTTGGAGCAGTGTCTTCTTCCTTGCTGAGAGGCCTTTCAGCTTATGTCGATATAGGACTTGTTTTACTGTGGATATAGATACTTTTGTACCTGTTCCTCCAGCATCTTCACAAGGTCCTTTGCTGTTGTTCTGGGATTGATTTGCACTTTTCGCACCAAAGTTCATTAATCTCTAGGAGACAGAACACGTCTCCTTCCTGCGCGGTATGACGGCTGCGTGGTCCCATGGTGTTTATATTTGCGTACTATTGTTTGTACAGATGAACGTGGTACATTCAGGTGTTTGGAAATTGCTCCCAAGGATGAACCAGAAATGTGGAGGTCTACAATTTATTTTCTGAGGTCTTGGCAGATTTCTTTTGATTTTCCCATGATGTCAAGCAAAGAGGCACTGAGTTTGAAGGTAGGCCTTGAAATACATCCACAGATACACCTCCAATTGTCTCAAACAATGTCAATTAGCCTATCAGAAGCTTCTAAAGCCATGACATCATCTTCTGGAATTTTCCAAGCTGTTTAAAAAGGCACAGTCAACTTAGTGTATGTAAACTTCTGACCCACTGTAATTGTGATACAGTGAATTAATCTGTCTGTAAACAATTGTTGGAAAAATTACTTGTGTTATGCACAAAGTAGATGTCCTAACCGACTTGCCAAAACGATAGTTTGTTAACAAGACATTTGTGGTGTGGTTGAAAAACAAGTTAATGACTCCAACCTAAGTGTATGTAAACTTCTGACTTCAAAAATACATAAATATATACAGTTGTTGTTGTTGGCTCACGAACCCTTTATAAACAAAAACGTTATTTCACACACATTGTAGCCATCAGACCAGCTATATCAAAAACAAAAATGGATTAACCAAGGAAAGCGCAATAAAAAACTTCAGCAAACAAGAGCTTGAAGTGATGGTGGAGGAAATAGCAGCCAGGAAAAGGTTGCTGTTGGGGAGACTCGATAACTGCAGGGTCACTGCAGACACCAAAAAGAGAGGATGGGTGAAAGTGGCCGGTCTGTCTCTGCCGTCGGGGATATGGCAAGGGACAGTGACGCCGTGAACGAGTGGTCCGGCATCAAGTTGGCTGCTAAGAAGGGAGCTGAGAGAAGCAGGGAGTGGAAGACTAGAGGGGGGGTATCGACCATTTATGTGGACCAGCTGGAGGATAAGGTGTTGTCCATGATAGGAGAGATGGTGGTAGAATCCCATTTCTTCTTAACTGAAGAACGTAAGAACATTTCCAATAACTTTATTGAGTGATAGCAACTTTGCTTAACTTTCTTCATAAGTCTAGTTAACGAAAAAACGGCAGTTAAGAATAATTTTCTTCTGAAGGTTTTGTGAATCTGGGCCCTGGTTTGTAACCGATTGACCCGGGTCATTCATTAGATGTGTTTGAAAGACAGACTGACAGACTGACTTTGCTTTCGGTGTGGACATATTGGGGCATCTGAACGATCTAAATGTGAAACTGCAGGGAAATTGTCTTTGTTCATGAACTGTATTCCAACGTGAAAGCATTCAAGGCCAAACTTGCTGTTCTCCAGACAAATGAGCAGCCGGTCTCTCGCTCATTTTCCGACACTATCCGCACTGAACGCGCCCACATCGCAGTGCCGCACTGAGACATACAGTAGCACTTTGATCGACCTGCATGCTGAGTTTTCCCGCCGCTTCTCAGACTTCACCAAGATTGAGACTGAGCTGGAACTTATATCTTTCGACAGTGAGAAAGCACCACCAGACACACAATTGGAGCTCAGCGACATCCAATGTGACAGTGATTTGAAGGAGAAGTACAAAACAGAAACAATAGAACAGTTCTACGGCTCACTGAATGAAACAAAGTTTCCAAACATTAAAAAGCGCGCCCAAAGAATCCTTGTTTTAGTCGGGTCCACGTGTGAACAAATGTTCTCAGTCATGAATTACAACAAATCCCGTCACAGGTCAAATTTAACAAATGACCACTTGTCAGCTGTTCTGAGAAACTCTACATCAAAGATGACACCAGACTTTGATGCCCTCGCCAAGAGAGGTGACCAGACCCATTGTTCACATTAAGACCCGAATAACCGTGACTGGGGTAGGCAAGGATTATGCTTTTCATGGTGATGGTTATGCAGTGAGAATTATCCAGCAATGCACTTGGATACAGGTAATAACTAATCAGTCAGATTTGGGCTGAGGTGATTGGATAACTGTAAATATGGCTCACAAAGGAGATGATAATTGTTCCTTAATATCCTTTCAAAAACATACCATTCCAAATGAAATGGATGCTCTTACCATGTTTTACCCTAATTTTAGAATCTGTTTTTTTTTTTTTTTTTTTTTTACACATCTGCTGTTACATTTTGCATGTCTCCAGTCATATACAGTGAGGGAAAAAAGTATTTGATCCCCTGCTGATTTTGTATGTTTGTCCACTGACAAAGACATGATTAGTCTATAATTTTAAATGGTAGGTTTATTTGAACAGTGAGAGACAGAATAACAACAAAAAAATCCAGAAAAAAACACATGTTAAAAACATTATGAATTTATTTGCATTTTAATGAGGGAAATAAATATTTGACCCCCTCTCAATCAGAAAGATTTCGGTCTCCCATGTGTCTTTTATACAGGTAACGAACTGAGATTAGGAGCACACTCTTAAAGGGAGTGCTCCTAATCTCAGTTTGTTACCTGTATAAAAGACACCTGTCCACAGAAGCAATCAATCAATCAGATTCCAAACTCTCCACCATGGCCAAGACTAAAGAGCTCTCCATGAATGTCAGGGACAAGATTGTAGACCTACACAAGGCTGGAATGGGCTACAAGACCATCGCCAAGCAGCTTGGTGAGAAGGTGACAACAGTTGGTGCGATTATTCGCAAATGGAAGAAACACAAAAGAACTGTCAAATCTCCCTCAGCCTGGGGCTCCATGCAAGATCTCACCTCGTGGAGTTGCAATGATCATGAGAACGGTGAGGAGTCAGCCCAGAACTACACGGGAGGATCTTGTCAATGATCTCAAGGCAGCTGGGCCATAGTCACCAAGAAAACAATTGGTAACACACTACGCCGTGAAAGACTGAAATCCTGCGGCGCCCGCAAGGTCCCCCTGCTCAAGAAAGCACATATATAGGCCCGTCTGAAGTTTGCCAATGAACATCTGAATGATTCAGAGGAGAACTGGGTGAAAGTGTTGTGGTCAGATGAGACCAAAATCGAGCTCTTTGGCATCAACTCAACTCGCCGTGTTTGGAGGAGGAGGAATGCTGCCTATGACCCCAAGAACACCATCCCCACGTCAAACATGGAGGTGGAAACATTATGCTTTGGGGGTGTTTTTCTGCTAAGGGGACAGGACAACTTCACTGCATCAAAGGGACGATGGACGGGGCCATGTACCGTCAAATCTTGGGTGAGAACCTCCTTCCCTCAGCCAGGGCATTGAAAATGGGTTGTGGATGGGTATTCCAGCATGACAATGACCCAAAACACACGGCCAAGGCAACAAAGGAGTGGCTCAAGAAGAAGCACATTAAGGTCCTGGAGTGGCCTAGCCAGTCTCCAGACCTTAATCCCATAGAAAATCTGTGGAGGGAGCTGAAGGTTCGAGTTGCCAAACGTCAGCCTCAAAACCTTAATGACTTGGAGAAGATCTCCAAAGAGGAGTGGAACAAAATCCCTCCTGAGATGTGTGCAAACCTGGTGGCCAACTACAAGAAACGTCTGACCTCTGTGATTGCCAACAAGGTTTTTGCCACCAAGTACTAAATCATGTTTTGCAGAGGGGTCAAATACTTATTTCCCTCATTTAAATGAAAATCAGTTTTTAAAAATTGACATGTGTTTTTGTTGTTGTTATTCTGTCTCTCACTGTTCAAATAAACCTACCATTAAAATGATAGACTGATCATGTCTTTGTCAGTGGGCAAACGTACAAAATCAGCAGGGGATCAAATACTTTTTTCCCCTCACTGTAATATATATCTATTTTTAAATGTGCATATTGTGACTAAGTTTGATTGACTAATTATTACACCCTGAAACTGTGTATAATGTGTTAGAAATGTGTGAGTGTAGGACCAGTAAAGGCTATGGCATTGAGCCACTATTTAGCAATGTGAGTAAGAGTTAGGCCAGACAACAAAGACAACTGAGAAACTAAGATAAAGAGGCCTCCCAATTTAGGGAGGGGAGAAACTGTTATGAAAACATGGTGCAGAATATTGTGAGAACGGCAATAACTGAGTAAAGCAGGGAGTAGGATATGTGTGTGTGTGTGTGTGTGTGTGCGTGTATGTATGTGTGTATGCATGTGTGTGTGTGAACTGAAGGTCAGTAGAGCAGTTTTAGAGTGGAAAACTACAGGCCGCCTACAGAGGGAAGGGATTTCTTTTTGTATGACGTATGAGTATAAAAGATGGACTCAAATTGTGATGGCAGAATTCTCAATGAATAAATATCTCTGACTATGCAGACCGGGACTCTGGCCGTTACTTAAATCCCAAAAGACTTACAACCTTTTGGGAGACGCACAGAGACACTAAAATAGTTTGTTAAATAATTCACGTAACACCTACTTACAAAGCATGTAGAGGTCTGTAATTTTTATCATATGTACACTTCAACTGTGAGAGACGGAATCTAAAACAAAAATCCAGAAAATCACATTGTATGATTTTTAAGTAATTCATTTGCATTTTATTGCATGACATAAGTATTTGATCACCTACCAACCAGTAAGAATTCCGGCTCTCACAGACCTGTTAGTTTTTCTTTAAGAAGCCCTCCTGTTCTCCACTCATTACCTGTATTAACTGCACCTGTTTGAACTCATTACCTGTATAAAAGACACCTGTCCACACACTCAATCAAACAGACTCCAACCTCTCCACAATGGCCAAGACCAGAGAGCTGTGTAAGGACATCAGGGATAAAATTGTAGACCTGCACAAGGCTGGGATGGGCTACAGGACAACAGGCAAGCAGCTTGGTGAGAAGGCAACAACTGTTGGCGCAATTATTAGAAAATGGAAGAAGTTCAAGATGACGGTCAATCACCCTCGGTCTGGGGCTCCATGCAAGAGCTCACCTCGTGGGGCATCAACGATCATGAGGAAGGTGAGGGATCAGCCAAGAACTACACGGAAGGACCTGGTCAATGACCTGAAGAGAGCTGGGACCACAGTCTCAAAGAAAACCATTAGTAACACACTACGCCGCCATGGATTAAAATCCTGCAGCGCACGCAAGGTCCCCCTGCTCAAGCCAGCGCATGTCCAGGCCCGTCTGAAGTTTGCCAATGACCATCTGGATGATCCAGAGGAGGAATGTGAGAAGGTCATGTGGTCTGATGAGACAAAAATATAGCTTTTTGGTTTAAACTCCACAAGCCGTGTTTGGAGGAAGAAGAAGGATGAGTAACCGTGAAGCATGGAGGTGGAAACATCATTCTTTGGTGATGCTTTTCTGCAAAGGGGACAGGACGACTGCACCGTATTGAGGGGAGGATGGATGGGGCCATGTATCGCGAGATCTTGGCCAACAACATCCTTCCCTCAGTAAGAACATTGAAGATGGGTCGTGGCTGGGTCTTCCAGCATGACAACGACCCGAAACACCCAGCCAGGGCAACTAAGGAGTGGCTCCGTAAGAAGCATCTCAAGGTCCTGGAGTGGCCTAGCCAGTCTCCAGACCTGAACCCAATAGAAAATCTTTGGAGGGAGCTGAAAGTCCGTATTGCCCAGCGACAGCCCCGAAACCTGAAGGATCTGGAGAAGGTCTGTATGGAGGAGTGGGCCAAAATCCCTGCTGCAGTGTGTGCAAACCTGGTCAAGACCTACAGGAAACGTAGGATCTCTGTAATTGCAAACAAAGGTTTCTGTACCAAATATTAAGTTCTGCTTTTCTGATGTATCAAATACTTATGTCATGCAATAAAATGCAAATTAATTACTTAAAAATCATACAAATGTGATTTTCTGGATTTTTGTTTTAGATTCCGTCTCTCACAGTTGAAGTGTACCTATGATAAAAATTACAGACCTCTACATGCTTTGTAAGTAGGAAAACCTGCAAAATCGGCAGTGTATCAAATACTTGTTCTCCCCACTGTATGTACACCTACAGTACACTAGTAGTTGCGTGTCAATGTGAAAATGAATAAAGGCTTCACATGTTTTGTCACGCATATAGTATGTGGCCCTTCACTTGGTTTCAAAAACTCAATGTGGCCCTTGAGCCAAAAGGTTTGCCCACCCCTGGTATATACTATACAATATTTGTTCATTTTAGTATACTGTAAACCGGCTATTCCCAAACTGGGGTACGCGCAATGCCGTCGGGGGTACGCCAAATAAAAATGTGATTCAAATGTTCAAACAGTCCATTTATTTATTTTTTCCAATGGGGCTATACATTTGGGTGATGTTTTTTTCTCGCTTGAGTAGCCTCGTTTCACTGCCCGAAATAAAATTAAACCATCTAGTGTTCAGCTAAATAACAACACAATGTCAAATACAGGTAGCCTAGTCAAATAATTAACATCCAATCACATTAACCGTTACTCTCTCGCGGGAATTCCACTAACGGTCCGTATGTAGCCAAACGTAGCTGCTGCTCAGTCCGTTTGCTCGAAAATGGATGAATAGTTTTTTTTTTAAAAGTAAGGCCTGTGTCCATAGAGACACATACCAGCTCTACTGGTAGTACTGCTACTACCAGCAGTACTACACCTCCACCTGTCGACGATACACAAGTTGTTGTGCTTCCACGAGCACATCCAACGCTAGTAATTCTTCATTTGTTGCAAGCCCAGCTAGCATGGACACTGACAGTTGTGAATCTGATGCAGGGAAGAGCTACTGCCCCCTTACCTGGGAAAGCGCCGAACAACAGACAGGGACGTTGGACCATCGAAGAGGCGCAAATATGATGAGAACTACATTGATTTGGGGTTCACTTACAGTGGGGAAAAAAAGTATTTAGTCAGCCACCAATTGTGCAAGTTCTCCCACTTAAAAAGATGAGAGAGGCCTGTAATTTTCATCATAGGTACACGTCAACTATGACAGACAAAATGAGGGAAAAAAATCCAGAAAATCACATTGTAGGATTTTTAATGAATTTATTTGCAAATTATGGTGGAAAATAAGTATTTGGTCAATAACAAAAGTTTCTCAATACTTTGTTATATACCCTTTGTTGGCAATGACACAGGTCAAACGTTTTCTGTAAGTCTTCACAAGGTTTTCACACACTGTTGCTGGTATTTTGGCCCATTCCTCCATGCAGATCTCCTCTAGAGCAGTGATGTTTTGGGGCTGTCGCTGGGCAACACAGACTTTCAACTCCCTCCAAAGATTTTCTATGGGGTTGAGACCTGGAGACTGGCTAGGCCACTCCAGGACCTTGAAATACTTCTTACGAAGCCACTCCTTCGTTGCCCGGGCGGTGTGTTTGGGATCATTGTCATACTGAAAGACCCAGCCACGTTTCATCTTCAATGCCCTTGCTGATGGAAGGAGGTTTTCACTCAAAATCTCACGATACATGGCCCCATTCATTCTTTCCTTTACACGGATCAGTCGTCCTGGTCCCTTTGCAGAAAAACAGCACCAAAGCATGATGTTTCCACCCCCATGCTTCACAGTAGGTATGGTGTTCTTTGGATGCAACTCAGCATTCTTTGTCCTCCAAACACGACGAGTTGAGTTTTTACCAAAAAGTTATATTTTGGTTTCATCTGACCATATGACATTCTCCCAATCCTCTTCTGGATCATCCAAAGGCACTCTAGCAAACTTCAGACGGGCCTGGACATGTACTGGCTTAAGCAGGGGGACTGCAGGATTTGAGTCCCTGGCGGCGTAGTGTGTTACTGATGGTAGGCTTTGTTACTTTGGTCCCAGCTCTCTGCAGGTCATTCACTAGGTCCCCCCATGTGGTTCTGGGATTTTTGCTCACCGTTCTTGTGATCATTTTGACCCCACGGGGTGAGCTCTTGCGTGGAGCCGCAGATCGAGGGAGATTATCAGTGGTCTTGTATGTCTTCCATTTCCTAATAATTGCTCCCACAGTTGATTTCTTCAAACCAAGCTGCTTACCTATTGCAGATTCAGTCTTCCCAGCCTGGTGCAGGTCTACAATTTTGTTTCTGGTGTCCTTTGACAGCTCTTTGGTCTTGGCCATAGTGGAGTTTGGAGTGTGACTGTTTGAGGTTGTGGACAGGTGTCTTTTATACGGATAACAAGTTCAAACAGGTGCCATTAATACAGGTAACGAGTGGAGGACAGAGGAGCCTCTTAAAGAAGAAGTTACAGGTCTGTGAGAGCCAGAAATCTTGCTTGTTTGTAGGTGACCAAATACTTATTTTCCACCATAATTTGCAAATAAATTCATTAAAAATCCTACAATGTGATTTTCTGGAATTTCTTTTCTCAATTTGTCTGTCATAGTTGACGTGTACCTATGATGAAAATTACAGGCCTCTCTCATCTTTTTAAGTGGGAGAACTTGCACAATTGGTGGCTGACTAAATACTTTTTTTCCCCACTGTATATTGGGAGTACTGCCTTTCCTCAGCCACTGTGTGTTATATGTGCAAATGTACTCACAACTCTATGAAACCTTCACTCTATTCCCGAGTGGCACAGTGGTCAAAGGCATTGCATCGCAGTGCTAGCTGTGCCACTAGAGATCCTGGTTCGAATCCAGGCTCTGTCGTAGCCGGCCGCGACCGGGAGACCCATGGGGCGGCGCACAATTGGCCCAGCATTGTCCAGGGTAGGGGAGGGAATGGCCGGCAGGGATGTAGCTCTGTTGGTAGAGCATGGCGTTTGCAACGCCAGGGTTGTGGGTTCGATTCCCACGGGGGGCCAGTATGAAAAAAAGAATGTATGCACTCACTGACTGTAAGTCGCTCTGGATAAGAGCGTCTGCTAAATGACTAAAAACAAATAAAAACAAACTCTTGCGCAGACATTTAGAAACATGCCAATTTGAAAAATAAGCCACGGGAGTTTGAGCGAGAATTAAGACAACTTTCGAGTAGTAACATGTATAAAAGCAACAGATACCATTAATAAGAAGGGGCTAGAAGCGTCTTATATGGGTGAGCTATCAAGTGGCTAGGACAGGCAAGCCCCATACTATTGTGGAGAACTTAATTCTTCCTGCTGCCGCAGATATGGCTGGGACAATGCTGGGGGAAAAGGGCCAAAAAACTATACAGACAATGCCTTCATCAAACAACACTGTTTCATGACGCATCAGTGACATGGCAGGAGATGTTTTGAAACAATTACTGCTTCGCATACAAGCCAGTGAATTCTATGCGTTACAGCTGGATGAGTCAACAGACGTGGCGGGCCTGGCACAGCTCCTGATATATGTCCGTTACGTTTATGGGGGGTCAATTAAGGAAGACATCCTCTTCTGCAAACCAGGACAACAGGAAAGGATATTTTTAAAGTACTGGACAGCTTTGTGACATCAAATGGACTTTGGCGGTCAAGATGTGTTGGTATCTGTACTAATGGCGCAAAAGCCATGACAGGGAGACATAGTGGAGTGGTAACGTGCATGCAAGCAGTTGCTCCTGACGCCACTTGGGTACACTGCAGCATCCACCGAGAGGCTCTTACTGCCAAGGGAATGCCTGACAGCTTGAAAGATGTTTTGGACACTACAGTGAAAATGGTTAACTTTGTTAAAGCAAGCCCCCTGAACTCTCGTGTATTTTCTGCATTATGCAATGATATGGGCAGCAACCATGTAACGCTTTTACAACATACAGAAGTGCGCTGGTATTCAAGGGAAAAAGTATTGACACGTTTTATTGAATTGAGAGATGAGCTTAAAGTTCTTTACTGACCATAATTTTCACTTGTCCGACTGCTTGCATGATGACGAGTTTCTCACACGACTGGCCTATCTGGGTGATGTTTTTTTCTCGCCTGAATGATCTGAATCTAGGATTACAGGGACTCTCCGCAACTATATTCAATGTGCAGGACAAAATTGAGGCTATGATTAAGAAGTTGGAGCTCTTCTCTGTCTGCATTAAAAAGGACAAAACACAGGTCTTTCCATCATTGTATGATTTTTTGTGTGGAAATGAACTCAAGCTTACGGACAATGTCAAATGTGATATAGCGAAGCACCGGAGTGAGCTGGGTGCGCAATTACACAGGTACTTTCCCGAAACGGACGACACAAACAACTGGATTCGTTATCCCTTTCATGCCCTGCCTTCAGTCCACTTACCAATATCTGAACAAGAGAGCCTGATCAAAATTGCAACAAGCTGTTCTGTGAAAATGTAATTTAAATCAGAAGCCACTGCCAGATTTCTGGATAGGGCTGCGCTCAGAGAGTATCCTGCCTTCACAAATTGCGCTGTTAAGACACTGATGCCCTTTGCAACCACGTGCCTATGTGAGAGCGGATTCTCGGCCCTCACTAGCATGAAAACTAAATACAGGCACAGACTGTGTGTGGAAAATGATTTAAGACACTCTCTCTAATACAACCCAACATTGCAGAGTTATGTGCATCCTTTCAAGCACACCCTTCTCATTAACCTGTGGTGAGTTATTCACAATTTTTGATGTACAAATAAGGTTTTATATGTAAGATGGCTAAATAAAGAGCAAAACTATTGATGATGATTATTATTATTATTATTATATTATTTGTGCCCTGGTCCTATAAGACCTCTATGTCACTTCCCATGAGTCGGGTTGTGACAAAAACTCACTCATTCTTATGTTTAATAAATGTATCTTGGTTGCAGTTTGTAATCTGTGCAAGAATGGTTAAATAGGCCTTAAAATGGAAAAGAAAAGAAAAATAAATCCACATTGGTGCCTCTCTATAAATGATTGTTGTGGGTTGAAAAACAAATCCAGGCTACACTTGAACGTCTAAAACCAGATAGAAAGTATGCAGTAATTATAATGAACATTGGAAACAATGGAAATAAACATCCCTTTTCTGGCCACAAATTGATGCATCGAAACAACAACAAAAAAGAATCGTCCCTCTGTTGATTGCCCACCCCTGGTTTACTTGTAGTTCTCATTAAATTCCAATTTATGTGACTAAAATAATAAACAACACGTCATTCCTATGAAAAACAAGAATCTGGTTTGTAACGGCTTGACCCAGGGTCCTTGTCTTTGGGTTGTTTTCAACAACATGTAGACTGAATATCTTACTTTAGGGCCTGAGAATATCTGCACAAAATTCTGTCAAAAACCTGCAGAACATTATGTACCGTTTTGACAATTCTAACCAAGGTGAATTTGACTTTAGGCCCAACTCTAGTAGGACACATCTGAAATGTTCTTCCAAAGTCATTGTCTGTTTGGCGCTTGACATTACCTTGAGGTCCTCATGCTTGGGCATGATGGTGATCTTGTTGCCATCCACACTCAGGATCTTGCCCTGCAAGTTGATCAGCTCCCCTTCACACACCTCCACGTTGTCCCCAGCCTGGAGGTTGTGCTCACGCTCTTTACCTGTGATCACACAACAAGACATGTCTCTTACAAAAGCAAATACACACACGTAAATGAAAACCAGCAAGTAAATATCAAATCTCATATCCTGTGTATGCTTTAGAGGTGGCTGTTACCTGCAGTTTCAGTCACCACCTCCAGATCAATGCCTTCTGGCTGGTCCTCAAACTTCTCCAGCTCCGACAGAGTGGGTTTCACTCCTTCAGTGATCTGTAGAAGACGATAATGAGACAGATAACCAAGACCACTTTTCTGCCCCGTTTCTCCCCTATAGGACTGTCAACAAATGGTTAATAAAACAGTGGTATTGAGGCAACATGGTCGTCTTACCACAGCAGACATGGCAAAGCTCTTGAAGAGGAACCCTTTGCGGCTGTAGCGGTTAGCTTCAAATATCATGAAGTCCCCATCATGGCTGACATCCCCACCAAGTGACCTGGAAGAAAACACCATGAATAACCGAGGCGGTGATCTTACCCATTTAGGATAGTGTAATGAAATCCCCAAAAATTATAGTCTTTGTACCTGATCTTTTCTGCATCGAAGAGTCTCTGGGTTGGTCTCTTGAACTTCTTCCGCTTTGCAAACCAGTCTTTCTGGGAGACAGACAAAAAGAAGAGTGTCAGGGGATATCAAAGTGGAGGGTGGTGAGGAGACAGGTCGTGACAACAGTGCTGCTGTTGCTTACCATGCTCATCCGGGCCTTGATTCTGTCTAAATCTATCCTGGGAATCATCTTCAGTGATATCGTGTTCTGACTGGGCTCCACATAGTCCACCTAAAGAAGTAGAATACATGTATGTTTCAAGAATATGGTAAGGACATTTCCATTTGTCTTCAAAATCAATTTTCATCAGTCTTCACAAGTGTTGACTTCCACGATGTGTTTTAAGCATACCTGGGCGATGTCATCTTTGTAGAGGCCTCTCTTGAGTCGGACCCAGGACTTGGGCTTGAGGTTGGTCACCTCTTTGACCACCTTGAGGACGTCGGTCATCTCCTTGATGGGAACCATCTGCTGGTTCCAGAAGCCCATCCTCAGGTTGCCTATTCCGTCAATTGCAGCTTTGACGTGAGTCTGCTTGTACGACTCCACATAGATGTAACCTTTGACATGTTCGGGAGCCACTACCGACTTGATTTGGAGGGGCTGTGTAGGAAATTAAAACTGTTTCACAGGTTGTCAAAGCTCCCATTTTTTTTGTATCTACAAGAGGAGTACAGGCTATCAAAAGATCAATCATATAACACACTAAATGCAAACATTAGCATCTTAATACATGGAACATTTCCATGCAGAGAATGAGGGCGGGGACATACCGTGTCTGTGAATTGATAGGCAATGAATTTCCTCATCAAGGCGATGGCAGTTGCTCTCTCTTCTCCAATCTGTAATGACAAAATAATGCATGACATAGGCAAAATAACTTTTTTTAAATTGTGTGCTGAACTTTAGGATGTCTACACAAAAATATAAGCTCCATACCTTACACTTGACCGTCCAAAGATTAGGATCCCTTTGAAAAAGAAAACATAATACCAAGAACATTGAGAAAACTAATATATTGGATCGTTGTAGTACACAAAAAATCTATTCCCCATTTTGGTAAAGGGGGTACATACTTGACGCCAGGGAGCAGCTGCTGCTGGGTGATGTCATCAGACAGTTCCTCAGAACCCCCAGGAAAACTAGAGGGAATCAAAACCGATATTTCAGCCAAGGGGATAACCGGTAAAATGTATGTTGAAATGGAAATTTGGCCCAACTATTTTGACAGATTACTACTCTGAAAATACTCACTCATTTCCTGATTGCTTGGCATATTTCCTCATGTAATATTCACCCAAGGCCTCCTCTCTGGAATCTCTGAAATATCGAAGCATTCAAATGTCAGACTTCAACAACACAGCTCTGCATAGACACAACTGAAATATCAATGGAAAGAAGCCTAGCCACTAAGAACACATTACCTCCAGAGGTTCTGCAGCCTGCGGGAGCCAGAGTTGTCCTCATCCAGGACCACATGGTCAATGTTGGACACTGAAGAGTAAAGCAGACTCGGTGAAGACATTACAAATCACACAAAAAAAACGATTGAACATATAAGATTGAATGTAAAAGTTCCCTTCAGCTCAAACAAATGGTATTTTAAGAACCTATCTGTGTACACCTACAGCGCATTCGTAAAGTATTCATACAGAAATACCTTATTTACATAAGTATTCAGACCCTTTGCTATGAGACTTGAAATTGAGCTGAGGTGCATCCTGTTTCTATTTATCATACTTAAGATGTTTCTACAACTTGATTGGAGTCCACCTGTGGTAAATTCAATTGATCTGACATGATTTGGAAAGGCACACACTTGTCTATATACAGTAAGGTCCCACAGTTGACAGCGCATTGTCAGAGCAAAAACCAAGCCATGAGGTTGAAGGAATTGCTCCAAGACAGGATTGTGTCGAGGCACAGACCTGGGGAAGGGCACCAAAAAATGTCTGCAGCATTGAAGGTCCCCAAGAACACGGTGGCCTCCATAATTCTTAAATGGAAGAAGTTTAGAACCACCAAGACTCTTCCTAGAGCTGGCCGCCCGGCCAAACTGCGCAATCGGGGGAGAAGGGCCTTGGTCAAGGAGGTCTGACAGAGCTCCAGAGTTCCTCTGTGGAGATGGGAGAACCTTCCAGAAGGACTCCACAAATCAGGCCTTTATGGTAGAGTGGCCAGACGGAAGCCATTCTTGGAGTTTGCCAAAAAGCACCTAAAGGACTCTCACACCATGAGAAACAAGATTATCTGGTCTGTTAAACCAAGATTGAACTATTTGGCCTGAATGCCAAGTGTCACGTCTGAAGGAAACCTGGCACCATACCTACGGTGAAGCATTGTGGCAGCATCATGCTGTGGGGATGTTTTTCAGCGGCAGGGACTGGGACACTAGTCAGGATCGAGGGAAAGATGAACAGAGTAAATTACTGAGAGATCCTTGATGAAAACCTGCTCCAGAGCGCTCAGGACCTCAGACTGGGGCGAAGGTTCACCTTCCAACAGGACAACGACCCTAAGCACACAGCGATGACAACGTAGGAGTGGCTTCGGGACAAGTCTCTGAATGTCCTTGAGTGTCCCAGCCAGAGCCCAGACTTGAACCTGATCGAACATCTCTGGAGAGACCTGAACATAGTTGTGCAGCGATGCTCCCCATCCAACCTGACAGAGCTTGAGAGGATCTGCAGAGAAGAATGGAAGAAACTCCCCAAATACAGGTGTGCCAAGATGGTAGCGTCATACTCAAGAAGACTCGAGGCTGTAATCGCTGACAAGGGTGCTTCAACAAAGTACTGAGTAAAGGGTCTGAATACTTATGTAAATGTGATATTTATTTTATTCATTTTTAATACATGTGCAAAAAATTCTAAAAACCTGTTTTTGCTTTGTCATTATGGGGTATTGTGTGTAGATTGAGGGGAAACTATTTAATCCATTTTAGAATAAGGCTGTAATGTAACAAAATGTGGAAAAAGTCAAGGGGTCTGAATACTTTCTGAATGCACTGTATGTCTAGCCCCAAGTGGTAGGTGGGTCTTTTTCATATTGGAGGAAGTAAGATAACACTTACCCTCAGCTTCCTCTGCTCCGGGCCAGGCAGGTTTAGGTAGAGGGAGGAACACACATTAAGTGTCATGTGCACACAGCAAAGAGTGATATGGGCACAGGCAGGACCAAATGAAAGGAAAAAATAAACATTAGTCATGGTTAAAGACTACACCGAATGGCACATGAGACAATGGACAATTGTAATATGGATGATTGTAGTGTGGATGCTTATGAGTCTTTGTGATATGGCTGATTGATGTGCCATAAAAAGCTTAAACAATATCAGTTAGCTAATTCACACATATTAGCTTTCTTCTAACAGGTAGCATTTCAGGCAAATGGTCACACTTGGTTCCCTCTTTGATCACGTAAGTGCCTAGAACACCATGGTCAAATTATTGACTATTGATAAATCATAACTCTGCTGGTGTCAGGTTAACATACCATCCAACAACATTTCTACAATATTTTCCTGACTAGTAAATAGGTCACAGCTGTCAAATACAATATATTAATGTACTACTTCATACAGGTAGCCTCAGTTATTATAGGAGAACCCAATAATGTATTTGCCGTCTGTGCTCCTTTTGATTAGATGTGCAGTAGTGCTGAAATGTGGGTGGAGTTATAACAGAATGTGACTTGTTGAATGAGATATAACTAATCCATTGAATTAGATACAAGGAAAACAGACAGCAGAAAATCTGGAATTGATTTACCGTTAACTGAAGGAGGCATGCACAAGAAAAGGAATTATTAGCACAGGAAGAACACAGTCAATACTCTCACAGAAAATAATTTTGGCGTCGATTTTTTTGATTGTATTTGTAATGCTTCCCGTCCCTTCCTGAATCCAAACAATACTACAGATAAATCTGTCATGCCAAAGCATCTGCAAACCACCCGTTGGAAAGTCATTTTATAATATTTTACATGCAACAAAGTTCATGGACTGAGTCCTCATCAACAGACAACTGCCCCAACATTGTTCATATATAATTCCCTCTCAGGTGATAGATATCCTCAAACATGACCGCATGTGTGACCTCACCTTTCTCCAAAATATCCTCAGCGCCTTCCTCCCATGGGTCTTCATCTTCATACTCATCATCCACATCTAAACAAAACGAGAGGGAAAATGAGAGTTTCTTTCAGATACATTAAATTAAAAGGTGCTGGTGAGCAAGAACATGTGTACAGCTATTCTACACCGCGATGGTATTATTAGAGTGAAGATTTGTCTTACCGGCTTCATCCAAGATGAAACCTCCATGCCTGGGTTTCTTTCTGGGACGGTCATCATCATCCTCTTCCTCCTCTTCGTCATACTCATCCTCTTCTGCCAAGTCTTCCCCTTCCTCTTCTGCTGCCTTATCACTGCCAGATAAACTTGCCTGCCCATCTTCCTATATAGGGGTACACATTCAAACCACTCACAAGTTATGTCAAATGCAGTGAAACTTGCAATGTCCATTTGGAGCCAATCGAGGTGTTTTGTTAGCATCAATTCTGATACAGTAGCAAATTGAGGGCCATCCATGCACAGGTGCGTCTGTTCCACCCACCCATTCACACTGTGCAAGTTATATCCATGCACAGCCAGCTATTTACTTTGCATAGCCTGACGTTAGCGCTGTGTTGTTAGATTGGTAGCTACTAGCTAGTTACATGACTATGGTCTTTATTTATTATGTGTGTAATCACAGTGCTGGAAACCCTATCTTACACGAATTACAACGCTGCCATGTGACCGAGCTGCTAACAGCTATCTACCTAACTACCTAGTTAGATTAGCAGGCTTAATGTTGTTAGCTAGCATGCAGTGTTAGCTAGAGCCTTGTTAGCTATCTAGTTTACCTCGGCCTCATTTTTGTCCACCTCCTCGGCTTCGCTGCTTTGTTCACTCTGGTTGTCAGAGAAGTCGCTGTCCTCACTGTCCGACATTCTTGGAGCAGAGGTCTCCTGTAAAGAGACTGAGTTGAAAAGCACAATGATTTTAGTTAGCTAGATAACTTAGTTCAGACAATCCTTGCTTGGATGAGACTAAAAACGAATTACTAGCTGCTAACTAATACTGCCACTGTACTAACTAGCTAGCCAAAAAGTTGGAATAAAGATGTTTCAGGATAACAAACTTAGCTACGTTTCCTCCAACAATTCATATTAGAATTACTTAGTTAGCTAGCTTATTAAGATAATGTAACCACCAAAACATACAGAGAATGTACAATGTTGATAGCTAAAGGCAAGGCCTAGCTAGTAGTAGCCTCCGGATCACGCTACTAGCAAGCTAACTTAACGTTAAGCTAGCAAACAACCCACATCTGCAAGTATATCTTGATAAATACATTCCAGGCATAGCTATGTCTTACCTTTCTAAAACACGGCTCTTGGGTTGGACTTAACTAAAACAAAAAAATATGCTATTACATAGATATTTCTTTAGCACTTCACGTCTTCCTTCGATTCACAGAATCACGAGATTTGGAAGGGTACGAACTAAATTCTCGCGAGGGTTTGAATACTGGGTAAAGCAGTGGTTAAAGTGGTGCAGTCTAATCAAATATTCATATATCTGTGATTTTGGGTCTCATGTCCATAACAGCACACCTGATTTCTGTCTGTAAAAATAATGGCGAAGATGCATAAAGATGGCGGCCCCCATGTACTTACCACAAACGCCTCATTTGCTAAATTCCCCATATTGTAAAATGCTCTCCTTTACTTTTTTTGTATTGGCATTAGCACAGTTTACACATTATCCCAATTCTAGCTCCAAGATTGCAGCAATAAAAAAACAACCAGTAGATTGCGCTGATTTATAGGCACATTGAGCATGCCATAGTTAAAAAAGTATGTGGATAGATAGATAGTGCTCAAAGGAAGACATAAAATCTGAATTCCTCCACTTTTATGCACCATAACGATTTGAGATACTGTACTAGTATCTGACTCTAGCTTACCAACTGTTTTTAAAAAATAACGTGTTTGTGGTATCATTATGTTGTTGTTTTCTTTTTTTTCCACAATGTAGCTACTATGTAAAAAATAGGTACACCAAACATTAGCTTGCCTAGGCCTACTACTAGTGATTGGGTGGGGGGAAATCGATACAGTTAAATATTGCTATATTACTATGTTTTATTTATTGAAATGTTTTTGCTAGGTAGCATTAGCTAGCACTAGTCAGCTGTACCTCTGGTATTTTTAGTCCTATAGCTTGTTCTCCATCTTCTTTTTAAATAGTGCGCCAACATGATTTCAGAACTTTTATTTCCATAACTAGCTAGTTTCCATCCAATTGTGAACATATTTTCACTGGATTACTCTAAAATCCTCATAAAGAAAATATGTGCATTTTCCCACCAGTGCTGTTTCCACCAAATTGACTTGTTGTGGGAAAAAAGCAGTGTGTAATGCCTCAGTGCAAATAAAAGGTACTTTTTCCCTTAAGTTTTTATGTACTGAATAAAA